AGAAACAAATCACATGGACGGATGTAGAATATTGACAATGTAATGATTCCGTTTCCTATTTCATCTTTCACGACTAAGCGTGACTCGAGGAAAATTATAACTTTAGCGAAAAGAAACGGTATCCCATTTTTTATAGAAGATATTACTGTAAGAATATTATTATAGAGCAGAACTAAATGTTATTGTCATTATACTTTCTGAGCCACTGTTTCGTGATGCACGTCGAATATGTTTTCGGCAGCTAATGCACACGTTTGCGCCGTATGGAGTTCATCTGTACAGTAAAATAAAATCAAGATTCATATATATTGGATGGGGAGAAAACGAGCGACAACCTCCGTGGTGTGGGGAGGACCCATAGAGTGGAAGGACCGTTGTTGGACCCCAAAACACATTATGAGATGTATCCCTACCATCCCAGCAACCGCTTAGCAGAAAAGGAAGAAATCAGGATCTGGATCCATGGCAAACTGTGACATGGATAAATACAATGAGCACACACACGCACGCACGCACGCACGCACGCACGCACGCACGCATGCATGTGCATCAGAGAGACACACAGACAAAAATACACTCATTTATACACACATACCTACACGTCACTAGATACGATCTTTAATCTTTAACGTGACGTGAAGCTCTATTTCACCTCGGCTCACCTGTATGTGCATGTAATCGACCCTTCCAACAACCCTGGCGAAATCAGAAAAGCGACTTAGGGACCGTTCGTAATTTATGGCTAGGGGGGTGATGATGATGATTTTAAGGGAGGTGGGGGAGTCACCCATTTTGTTCTGGGGAGGCATGGGGGTCATCAATTTTGTACATAGAAATAATAAATAAATACGCTTAAAAAATTATGGGAAGGGGGGGTATTTGATTTTGTACAAGACATGCATGGCGGGGTGACTTACTTTGTACATAATTTTAGGGGGGAGGAGGGGTGTGTGTGTTCATTCACATTGTTCCTGCTTCTCCATGAAAATCATCATCACCCCCCTCCAAGCCATAAATTATGAACGGTCCCTAAATCTTTTATCCGTCATCATACCAAATATGTGCTAATAGAATTCTTCTTTGAGGCATCTTGCCGTTACTGCCACTCAACAACGTTTAAAGTTGCCAGACTATTTGAATTACCCAGACTTGCGCAGTGTGTTTAATCGGATAGGCCGTTCAGTGTGTGTTCGAGTGGATTAAACATACGCCGTTAAGTGTGTGTTCGAGTGGTTAACATAAACAATCGTCGCGTCCTCAATGTCTCAAGATATCAGAGCAAACATAACATTACCTATCTCTGTTTGAAAAAAAAAACCGGGTGCAATTGTTGTTGTTTTTCTTAAAGTTAAATGAATCATATCCCCAAACAACATTCTTTAACAGGTAATTATGTCCAATTGTGAACACATCAATTGTTGATAAAGGGAAGGAAAAGTATTAATCGAAATATTTCAGGAATATGACACCACGGACTTACTAAAAAGAGAGACAAACACCCATTTTGTTCTGGGTCATCAATTTTGTACACACGTACTAGGGGGATATATGTAATAGTTGGGATTACACTTTTAGTAAAGTACAAATTCTAGTACAAGGGTTGGGTTGAGTCCCATCCGGGATTCAAACCCACACCCTGAGAGTCAGGCACCTAATCGCCAGCACACAAAATCAGCCTCCTAGACCATTCAGCCACCGGTGGTATTCATCACCCACCTGAACCCAGCCCTAAATTATGAACGGTCCCGTAGCGACAAGTGGATTTAGTTAGGTAACGGACTGAAAATCTGCTCCCTAAGGTCGCTCTAAACATGACGTTTTTATGCTTCATTATCAAATTCGGGATCTGGTGGTCAGACAAGTCAAGACTTGATTGCTGCATGTCCCAGATGCATAGATCGAAACTAAAAAAACTAAACTAAACTAAACTATCTACATATTCCTGTTATATAGGTGGAATGTTACAAGCACTACGATAAGAAAACACGCAAAATCGCATGATACCAGTGCGCCCTCGTTTGGAAGCGAAACACTACTAGTCCTAGCTCTCGTCAGCAAAGGACGAGATTTTACATGGCACTCCGTATCATCGACCAGTTTATCACAGGCCAGACTGAACACGATTAGTTCATCTAATCGAACACACCTGGTACTAGGAAAATGTGATTGCGCTTGAAAGGAAGTAAGGCCTCGCTCCGACCCAAGCGCCCAAGGAGAGACGCCCAGACCCAACGCCACGAAGACAACCCGGACCAGCCCCAAGAGTTGCGCAAGGAGCGAAACGCTTGTCTATAAATAACCTAACACGTACTATGTGGATACTTTGATCGGTAGAGGATCGTGTGATTGTATTTAATCCATAATCATGTTATTGACTAGCTACCGACTACGTTGTGACAATAGTCATTAATATCAAAGAGATGGTACTGTCAGCACTACGTCATGTTTAAATATGGCGACTTGGTCGACATATATGGGGTGCAGTTCTCGGAATAATGTATTTTCTAAGAATAAACATGGATCAGTTCCTGGTAAAACTGATAAATGTGTTTCTAGGAAAGCGTTTGAATGGAATGCGTTTTACGTTACTCTGGGCCAAACAGGAGTTATGCGGGGACTGTATTTGTGTTCATTTGCTGGATTGTCACGTATGTAGCAAACATTTTACTGATCTATCTATCTTCAGTTCCCAGACGGCTACACTGTAATCATACCACGCGAGTCAGTGTCGTACACTGCACGCTATATAAGATGACATACTTAGGGGCGTGTGTCGCTTAGAAACAGCGTTAGAAAGACATAGGTGTCTAAACCCAACCCTATTACTATATAAAAGGACTTTCCTTTGATATATAAAGACTTTCCTTAAATGAAGTAGTAGGGTTGGGTCTATACACCTATAGATATGTCTTTCGAACGCTTAAATGGTGGTGGTAGGGGTTAGGGGTGGGGTGCTGTCAGTGTCACCAAGATAACAGACATAATATTGGGGGAGTCATGACAAAATAGATATTATACATTAAAATATTTATTGCTTTGCATTTTGTTTCGACGAGAGTCATGACATGAACGTCAAACATGAGGATTTAGCAAACATACGACAAACATTAGAGGAAGGTCAATGGATTCAGTACATTATTGCACCTATAGCCTGTGACCCCGACCCTTCTGTTAGTGGGTTTCCTGTCCTGTATGTATGTATGTATGTATGTATGTGTATGCGTGCGTGCGTGCTGTCTCTCTCTCTCTCTCTCTCTCTCTCTCTCTCTCTCTGTGTGTGTATGTATGTCTCATTCAGGGTTACCACAAGATCTGGAAAACCTGGAAATCTCACACCCCATGTTCAAGTATTTGAAAAATCATGGAATAATTTTGTTTCGTATCTAATAAGATAAGACTAAGATAAGAGATGCAAACTTAATGACGTACTAGAAATTCAATAATATGTCTCTTCTCTCAGACCACATTTATGCTTCATAACAGTTGCATAGAACCAACCACATTATAACTCTATCGGTGGTTAAATTGTTGTGGATACAGGGTGTATCATTTTCAAAACATTTCCTTTATTCAGTTCATAACAATACCATAAGAGGTTATATATGCACACCGGTAATGTTTTTAGCTTTACAGAAGTTTGTTACAAGTTCTTGTATCCTGGTTCTTTGTATTAGAAATACAACCAAGAAATGTAGTATTGTAGCTGGGCTATATCAACAGAAGATAAAGGGAGCGTTATTATACAATGTGTCTGCAGTTTATACTGTAAGATACTGAACCATTATTGATTTTAATATCATGTCTTATTTTGGTTAAATATGTCACTAAGGATGGCTAAAGAGTGAAATAAAACTTGCTCCACTTGATGTTTCATTTTTATAATGAAATCTTATCATAAAGAGTTGTGAATGGACCTCTGTAAGGGGAGATGGCGGCCGAATTCAAATATTGTTTTATTTCAGACACAGTAAAGTATGTTTAAAGGTACCCACATACCCTAGGACATATATTCTTGTTTCTAGAAAAAGCAATATTCTTGAACTTTCTCTGTTTCTAAAGAGTTAAACTCAGGACCCATATTAGTGAGTGAGTGAGTCTAGTTTTACGCAAGAGGCGACTAACGGGATCGGGTGGTCAGGCTCGATGACTTGGTTGACACATGTCGATGCTCATGTGGTTGATCACTGGATTGTCTGGTCCTGACTCGATTATTTACAGACCGACGCCATTATAGCTAGAATATTGCTGAGTACGGCGTAAAACTAAACTCACTCACTCACACTGTATCCCCCGGTCAACATTCTCTGTTCCCACGTGTATTCTGTTCTCTGATGTGTGTTCTGTATTACCCGGTCTATATTCTGTGTTCCCACGTGTATTCTGTTCTGTACACGCAAGACACACTACATAACTAGTAAATGTAGGTGTATCCCCTATCATATACAATACACAGAAACGTACAATTTACGAAGAAACGTACTTTCATTACACGTTTTGGTCAGAAAGAACAATACCGGTATCAGGAAGTCCTTGACAAGAGCTCCTATCGTGCATTGATACTGACATGAAAGACATGCCCAATGACTGAAGTACGGATCGATCATGTTCAGGAATAGCAAGACGTCATGCTTTTGTCATGCATAGCTGGATAGTTAGCAAGTAGTGTACATATGCCGCCCCCCCCCCCCCTACACGCACACACACACAGCCCCAGCCCCCCACCCCAGGGCCTGTGTACTCTCCAGACATACTGTTTACTTGCGGGCGTACGATATGGACACGGGTATTTATTTCAGAATGCAAGAGGTTGTAAATGTATATTAATTCTTCTTTGCTTAAGTCATACAGGTGTTCAACAGTGACTCGATACATGTGAGAATAGACGGAGGAACGCATTCACATGCACCATACCAAACCCTACCCAAGTAATTTCAGAAACATTATTTCGATGTTATTATATCTTTACTTAATGTCATTGTTTTCCTAATTTAGAAGGAGATGTCTTTACTGACTGTTTCTCTAAACAGTGGCTGGACGTCAAGCAAGAATTGGAAAATTATTATGATTTCATCAGCATAACCGTTAGGCCAAAGAGGCAAAGCGCCGTGACTGTTAACTTTATGACTAAGATCCCATTTGACTTCAAGGTCGAGGACGCCCTAGCGTGTAATATCCAGGAATTTCTGAGCACTCGTAAAACGTTCAGACACAAGACACCGCGGGTACGTGGACGCAGAAGGAAATACCTATCTCTACACGAATCCAGGAACATACAACACAAGGCCTTCAAGGCGCAGACGGGGAAGAGGAGAAGCTGAGATCTCTACTGAAAGACATTCCTGCTCTTGGGAAGTATATCTGGGAAGATCTAAGACTTCCGGAATACATCACTTCATTTTCTAAACTAGACCGAGGTGGCTCATATTTCTTTGGAATAGCAGAAAGGGATCGTGCATACGGAAGATATCCTTATGTTTCCGTACACCTTGTTGACCATGGTTTACGTTTGTCACGAATAAACTTAGAAGCACTCACACAATACCTGTTAAGAAGAGTACAGTCAGATATCTTTTGTTGTTCGTACGATGGGAAGAAATTGAATATTGACGCACGTGACTTCGTCGACATTTCAAATCATCGCAAGTCGAACGACAAGTACGTTGTCGAAGTAGCCGTAGGTGCCGTAGAGGGTTAGTCTTCTATGACGCACAGGGACCAAAGTCATTTGCGATCAAGGAAGAGGAATTAACCCGCATTCCATTTTGTGAATGGTTTAACACTTTCACACACCACAAGGCTAACTCCAGCAGTTCCGATAACAAGCAATGGGACAGCGAAAGGTAAGGGGACATGCAAATGTTTCTCAGTGGTATCTTATACATCATTCATACAATTATGTATTGTGTGGCGGTAGCATGTCTCCGGCACCATTGTTATAGGTGACACGGTTTATTATTAGCATGCCATCGTCCACCGATTTACAAGTCTCAGTCTGTTTAGACCACCGTGTACTTGCTTAAATGACTTTGACGTAGAACTACCTTCCAGTGTGGATTTCGAAAATGATCGATTTCTGTGAGATTTAAATGACAATATCCAACTCTGTCTGTCACAAATCTTAGTACCAACATAGCCAAAGTCACCTGTGACATAAAATATGGTATGAATGTGGTATAAACAAGAAGGGCTCCGAGACAATGGCAGTATTGGCTACGTTGTCGTATAAACTTTAACTAAATTACAATGTCGCATTCAATTGTCTTCTCTTTCTATGGTGTTGTCTGCCCAAAATATATTCCCATACATGTTGTTTTATTTTTGGTAGTGATATAATCACCATATTATCAGATTCTGTTTATCACCTAATTTTCTTACAGAATAATTAAGAAAGCCATACTGTTTTCAATATACATGTGGGTTTATCTTCCAGGCAATGAACGTCCAGAACGGATACATTTCAAAACCAAGACGCCGCCATAAAAGAATAATTTCTTTGAAAGGTCAGTTATCACCTTTTTGATAAAGTAATGGTTTCTTCCAATTCTAATTTAATTAATGGCATGATAACATCATGATAAACTAAACCTTCTTGTAAAATGTGAGACAATATTAGAATCTAATCCGTTGTTGTAGTGTTCATATAAGTGGACATTTACCCAGTGGGCAGATATTGCATTATCGAAAATGCGTCATACTATAGACCAGAACTCGATAAATCCATAAAAGGCGTTTTTAATGACTGCATATAAATGAAGAAAACCTGAAGAGGCGCGTCGTCAACGAGGTCAAGCTTCCAAGTGGTGACGTATTCACTAGACCATTGAAGCAACTGGGCAACGCTCTAAATGACATCCATGGCCTGCTTACAAAAAGGTAGGTATATCAAGGCGAGAATATTTCTGTTACAATCCCAAATTACGTAGTCACAGCCAAAGGATTATTAGCAGGCTACCTCCGACAAAAACGTTTCACTTGGTTTTGTATGTACTTACCATGTTTATTTGAAATGATCGGTTTCAAGAATATACAATTGTTAACCAAATTATATTATCTAATTTCAGATAAGCTTCGGATGCATGTTTACCCTCCGTACATGGCAGATCTGTCCAAAGTTCAGACTAATTTAGAGGACAGAATAGCAGAGACGTTTCCCTCTGGAAAGGCAGGATTGGTTTACCTGGCTCTTTCACTCGGGGTGTCGCTTGACCTCGACGTTCGAATGAAACAGCCTCATGAGGTCATGTTTGACGCATGCGTCATCCCGACCAACGGCGCTCCGATGGTGTTGACTGTCGTTAAAGGAGATGCCAAGAAAACAAACGCCATCTCCAAATACAACCTTTATGTCGCCAAAGCTCTAATCAGAGCTGTGCGTAAATTCACAAATGAAAACTTTAATGCTTTACATGGCGTTCTCACAGCTGATGATATGTCATCATCAGAAAAGTTCAGTAAAGCATATGTGAGCATTGATAAAGAATCGTCTTGTTTCTGTATCCCAGAGTCTCTGTCAATGTCGGATGTGAAATACGCCAGTATTACCAAGGCGTTTGCTGCCGTGGCATCCTCCACAAAGGTGGTCCAGATACTGAGTTCTGAGAACACTGGTGTGACCCAGACGTGGTTCCTGACCCAGGAACAGTTTGTTGCGCTGTCAGAAAATATCGATAAGAATGTGGTGATCGTGGGAGCTGAGTCGGGCACAGGTTCCACTACTCTGATGCTAGAGGTGGCTTCACGCCTGGAGAGGTCGGGCTGCACACTGCTTGTTTCTTCATCGCCAGACCTATGCAAGACTGTCAGGTGAGAGACACAATAATACTAAGGTCTTTAGAATTGGATATAGACAGTAGTCATATTCTTCAAACACACCACAGATGTATCAATTTTCTATGAAAAATAAGTCTGGGAGTCTTAATTACTACCGCAACATGTGTTTACGGTAGTATTTGAACTTTATCGTTTTATTACTAGTTTTCGGCAGGCTTAAGTCAAAGGATGGAGATGGTATCCAACAGGGTATTTTATATGCAAAGACACCTGAAAGGTCAGGTACTACTGTCTGTGTTTACAAGCATGCATCCATGAGTCGCAGCTCAAGTCAGAATTGGTAATGGGGCTCCACACAAGTTATTGGGATAATTGTTATCTGTATCAAAGGCTTGGTCAAAGATGCCGATACTCCGAGTTTGTCAATGGGGAAGCTTCTCAAGTCCTTGCACAAAGGTAGGGTTCTTCAGAGCTAGAAGTTGCTTCCATATCTGATTTTACAATCACTGCGGCATGAGGTCTATGTCCGCATTAAAAGCAGTTGCCTTTAGCCAATATATTTTTATTTTTCGTTTTGTCTCTGTGTGGTACATCTTACTGCTTTTAGTATGATAATGACAGGGCAGATAGACCGTAAACAAATGTGATGTCTCAGGCAAAAGAATAGTTTCGCTTGCAAGTAAAGCGATCACTGCTCTTGCCATGTTATGTGTATGGAACTGTCTTTTTGTCTAAATGGTAATTACGCCATTGCTTAAAGAAGATGTTACAGTTGTAAGTATATTGACAGTTGTAACTGTTGGTCAGCATTATCACTAGCCTTATGATATAACTCACCATTGAGAAGGTTCCGGTTAAGCATGACAGGAAGACTATTTCGGTCATAGCGTTAAGGAATGGCATTACGGGATATCCCGCTTGCATGCATTGTCATGGTGAATATCCTACGTTGGGCATATACTCTGTAGCTTCATAGAGTCTTGATGTCAGTGTATGAAAGTCGTATGAAGGGGATCCTTCTAATGTCTCAACATTCTAAGTCCAACATGTTCACTATTGTCGTTGACAATTGTAGTATTATTGCTTATTATTGCATTTAATTATTGACATGATCCACCTATGTCGGAAGGTTACAATGAATGTCCGAAGGTTACAATGAATTTCACAATAAGTACTGTATATTTAAATCCTTCAAACAGATGTGTTGTGTGTTCTGTTGCTTTCAGGAAGCACAAGCTGTGCTCGCGGGTGATGGTCGCTAATACCTTCCACAAACACATGTCACAGCACAAAACACTTCCTGCACGTGTAAAACACGTGGTCTGTGAGGGGAACTGGTCACCCGAGACTGACTGTGGCGGTCGTGTATGGTGCTTTCTCGTCAAGAGAGGTTTGGAATTTATTGAGGTTATTATAAAACCGGGTTACATACTGTTTTTAACGAGGGTCAGGTTAATTCCATTTCCCGAAGGATACCAAAATACATTGGACTTCCTTTCGAACCAACCGTTTTTCCATAAAGAAATGAACTACTGAATTCCCGATTTGTTAATTAGGAAATTATAAGCTGTGTGATTATGGCACCCTTCCCACTGATAGATTGAGACTGAGTTTCTCAAATACCTCTTGCTCCAGTCACTCTTATTTTACCTAGTACGTTTTAAAGTGCGAGTAGTGATGGGATACTTCATGATTGTGCAATGAATTTTAAGAAACTTTAAATTACTTTTGACAAGAATCCGACACTCGAATCGTACAAACCTGTTCGAAACTAATAATATAATATAATCTGTAAATACTGAAGATATTAACCCCATTATTACCCTTACTATAGTGCATAGAAAGCGAGAGACAATATGATGACTTCTTTGATCGAATGTCGTCGTGTCCTGATGACGTGTACGTTGTACGTGCTTAAAACATTGGATGAACGGGTTCAGATCATTTACAGGAACGCGTGAAATACTGCCTACCTCTACCATTAACACAATCGCCCAGATAATCCTTCATGGCCCATCAGACCTATATATCTGTTGGTATAAATATATGCTTTATTTCTTACAGAAACCGATCGGTCACCTGTTCAGGATTTTGCCTGCCCGGAAACGCCTCCATGTTCCCCCATCCAGGCCTGTTGAATGTGAGATAGCCTAAACGGGACATGAATACTTCAGGCTTATATAGAAGCTGGACATCTGGCCACTTGGAAATAAACATTGGGTGCAAACCGAATACCAATGTACATATCAATAAACATTCAGTGCTATAACATATTTGAGAACATTACATGCATGTACATATATCATTCGATTCAGAAAGCTACATCACCAGAACGTGCCTTGTGCCACTCTGAAGAATAATGTTCAATGGCCTTAACTCACTGACTACTACATGTCATACAAGGATCTCAAATGCAAGTCAGCGTCTCGCTCAATAATGGATTGACTCAACCCGTGATATCACTGATCGCCTACAAACTGAACCAGTAATAATGGATGAACCAACAGAAGATTTGTTTTTGTAAATGATTATTTCTTTATTCTATAACATGCACAGGAACTGATCACTCTCGGATACGAATCGCTGAGTCAAAAGGGTTCAAGCCGATGTGGACATGAACAGTGTACAATATAATAATAATTGTGGATTTATAATGGGCCTTTTCCATGTACTAGACGCATGCTCAAAGCGCTAACACACAATCTGATTATTTTTACCACGGAAAACCCTAACGGCCTGTGAGGCGCTAGAGGGTTAATAGTCACATGACTTATCCTTTCGGGTACTCATTTTCTGCTGGGTGAACAGGGGGAATTTTGAACAATCACACTTGCCTAAGGTCAGACCACATATAGCACACGTGCTTCGTTGTTGGGCAGGACTGAAGTCCTAAAAACATCCATCTTCATTCATGAAACATTATGGGTCATTTTTGCAACAGTGATGTGTGTATCAATATTTGTTGATAAAGGACATAGGTAAACAAACAGATTAACAGCGCTGAGCGATTCCCAGAAGTGGCATTGGCACATTTGAATTGAATCGACCTCGGACCTTCGTCGTGACGCTTTAATGACTGGGTTATGGCTATCATAAATATTTGTGTTAGCACACATTTATGTTCGACGACACCTTTGAAAGCTGCTTACAAAGTTACTTTAAAAGTTAAGTCGATTCAGCGATTAACTACATCTAATAGACTATAGTGAATTCATAGATTAAGAGCCATTTGGCTTTTAAATGTATAGATATGAGTCATAACGTTGACGTTTGGTCTACTGAAGGTACTAGGATCGTTCTTGGTCACCCCTTATTGTTGCCGCGTGACAATGGGACAGGTAAACATGCTTTGATCGTAGGATCCTTTAACTGTATTATATATGGTAAATACAAACCTTCCCTATGTCTCATTTGTTCCTGGTGGTTATATACAGTTTGCTATGTAAGTATTAGACCTTTCGTTATATCACGTATGATGAATGTAAACTTTCCACATGACCCGCGTGTCCATTGTCGTTAATCAGCTATGGAGAGTAAATGCATCTGTTGTTATACATGTATCATATATGGCGATTATAGATTCCCCACTTGTCTCGCTTATCCATCGCAGTTACATCGCAAGGGGAAAAGTATCTTCACTTTTTGTTGTAGATGGTGAATATACATTCCCATTTGACTCGCTTATTAATGGTAGTTTTATAGCCAGGGGGAAAGAATGTTCACTTTTTGTTATATCATATATGGTGAACATACATTTCCCATTTGACTCGCTTATTCGTGGCAGTTTCATACCTAGGGTAAAAGTATCTGCACTGTTTGTAATATAATATTTGGTGAACATACATTTCCCATCTGACTCACCTGTCCATGTAAGTTACATAGCTAGGGGGAAAGTAGCTGCACCTTTTGTTACGTATGGTGAACATACATTTTCCATTTTACTCGTTTATTCATGGTAGTTACATCGCAAGGGGAAAAGTATATTCACTTTTTGTTATATATGGTGAATATATATTTCCCATTTGACTTGTTTATTCGTGGTAGTTTTATAGCTAGGTGGAACATACATTATCTTTTTGTTATATCATTGTTTGCTTATTGTAGTTGATCTGGACGTGTTTTTACAGTTTGGTGAGTTTAGGTTTCTGAAGTTAACTTTGCTTTGGAGAACATGTAGTGTAAGAACGAGATGTGGGTCCCGGTTTGATCTTTTACTCACGTGTATTGTGTGTAATGGTGATAACGGATGGAAATAACATTCTACGCAGATGAAGAGGAGGTATTGGAAATATGTGCAAGCATGGTTCACACTTTAACGCTTGATTTGTTCCTCCAGCTAATCTCTGTTTTGCAATTTGATCAATACATTTATCAAGAGTTGATCTCTGGTTTGTAAGTTGGTCAATACATTTATCAAAAGTTGATCCCTGGTTTGAAATTTGATCAATACATTTATCAAGAAGTGATCTCTGGTTTGTAGGTTGATCAATACATTTATCAAGAATTGATCTCTGGTTTGTAGGTTGGTCAATACATTTATCAAAAGTTGATCCCTGGTTTGAAATTTGATCAATACATTTTTCAAGAAGTGATCTCTGGTTTGTAAGTTGATCAATACATTTATCAAGAGTTGATCTCTGGTTTGAAATTTGATCAATACATTTATCAAGAAGTGATCTCTGGTTTGTAAGTTGATCAATACATTTATCAAGAGTTGATCTCTGGTTTGTAAGTTGATCAATACATTTATCAAGAGTTGATCCCTGTGTTGTAAGTTGATCAGTAGATTTATCAAGAGTTGATCCCTGTTTTATAAGTTGATCAATACATTTATCAAGATGCAAACAACACATCCATAATTTTATCACCACTAAAACAAAACAGGTGTGTACTCATTCATACCAAAAATGATATTTCCAAACATCGGATCAGTGAATGCTGTTATCATCACGTATCATTTGTCAAATTGATGCATACACCTATTGTATATTGTTGTTGTTCTAGTTATCAAATATCTGTCATTGCACATGCTACATAACTCTCACATGAAGCAGATACTTGGACATCTATAGTATTATTTTGTTATGTTTAATATTCCGAATAGTTTCGGTTAATGCAATCAGAATATTCTATATGTTTACATCTTATTTATAAATAGACAATATGCGTTTTCATATACAATGTTGTTCATATATGGTTATAGAGGAGCAATTATATTTTATAAATGTAGTCTTGATAGCTTAGACAGTCGTCATTTTTTAAAACTTCATTCCTACAGTTACATAGTTACAAACACCTTATAGTAACAAAGGCAAATACAAGTAAAATAAATTGATACGTATAACAAGCTTCTATAGGTTGGCTGAACATAGTCAAAAATTGTGACATGGGATGAAAGGAAACCTTTTTTGCTAAATTATCCATATCACTGAAATACATTATTCTGCAGGGAAGATGAATTTTAAGGTTTTCAGGTAGTTAATAAATTTTGGAATTGTGTTTTTTTAAAAATATTACATATATAGATATGTCTATACGGAGAAAATTATCTGGTTTAGTTCTTTGTTGACTTGTAAAATACGAATACAAACCAGATATTTTGTTATTTTTATTTCTTTGTCGAGGTATTTGTTGACAGTCATCATTTTATCCATTGTATGGGATAGACCATTCAATATTCTGGGGATCGGGGTCGGGGCATGCAGCCGATAGGACTTTTGTTTGCAACAGAATATTTTTATGTACCTTTTCTATCAAAGCCCGGTCCTAAGCAAAATTAAATGGTCAATTAAATAATATAGGAAAGCTGTTGTTTTCCAGGATTTTCGGGAACGGTAAGTTTTTCAAAATATAATCCCCTTCACAGAATATGAAATGGCCAGCCCCGTAATTGCCTAATATCGATATACTGTTTGGGTTGTCAGTGTTGTGTTATGTAGCGTTAAGGGCGTCTAATCGTTTATCTACCTGTAATCAGTATAATGTTACATCTATTAATTACATCTATTACAGTATAGTGTTACATCTATTACAGTATAGTATTACATCAATAATGAGTACTAAACATTCTCTAAGATTACGTTCTGGTTCTGACATTTTGCAAAGTCAATCAGTTGATTGTTTTCTTGTTTATTAAGAGCGGTTTTCATATGCAGTGGTTACAAATCTTACTAGCATACTATTCTACTGATCCGATATCAGTTTTGTTTCACATAATTCATTTAAAAACACTTCATCTTTGTTGTAACATTTCTTTTTTAAATAAAACCTTACAAAATAGAAAATACCTATTTGTTTTCACGATAAAACATTTCTTAGACTTCTTGTTTTATATGAGAAAGACGGACCTGATGGTAACAGTATATACATGTATTCAATTATCAAGATTTCATCTCGAACTTCATCCCTTTCAGGTGAGCTAATCCGAGTTTATGCTGTTCACCTTTTAGCAAACACATATGTTCACTATTTCATAGTGATTCATGAAGATACCTATGATATATTTGGAATCACATAAGAAGTTTGTAGGTCTACAAACGTTTGGAAAATCTAGGGCCAGTTCGTTCGTTTTTCAGTTCTCCACATTGGGAGTAGCTAAGATACATAGCGTTCACTGACATGAACGCTGTTCATGTCAGTGAACGCTATGTAGCTTAGCTACATTGGGAGGAGAGTGATGCCTTATGCCACAAAATACCCCATCTCGGCAGCTGTCTGTAAAGAGGCTGATTCAAAGCAAACAAACTAGAGTAAGCAATGATCAGGTCATGATGCCACAGTCTGGTCATACCTTCGTTCCACTCAATCCTGTTCTTAGACTGGTCTAGCCAGAACCATTGCGCACTGGTGACAGCATCTTCCTCCGTCCTTTATCGAGAGTCCTGAATTCGTGGACATTTGTTGTTTTTCATAATGTCGTTGTGAACAGGATTCAGTTATGTAACAGCATGTGAGTTTGATGTGTGTGGAAAGCATGAAGTGATGCAGGTCAGACGCATCTGTGAAGCCTGACATGTTGTCAAAGGCCATCCATCGGTGATGTAACAATACTGCTACCATATTGCCACATATAGTTTGTGTAAGTAACAACATCTTCCAACACATATATTATTGAGTATTTTATTAGGTTGTCCCTACATCCTCAACAGGACAGATTACATGGACACAGTGATCCTCTGAGGTGCCTTCAGGACAGGTGCAAGAGCTGTTTACAATTTCTGTCACAACAATTGACCATCAAGTATATGGCAACTATAGGACTCTGCTTTGGGGATATAATTCCATCCAGAAAACAGTTAGACCATGCAAATCTGAATTGTATGATTCCTACTGAACTTGTCCAGACTAACAAGCATTAGGATTAACAAGGTTTCGTTGCATGCTAATTCAGAGTCACTGGTCTGAGGACGAAAATTGTAAAACTACACTGAAATGACAAACATGAATTACATAATCTGTTGTCGGTGAAAACGAACCAACATTTGGACTGTATTAACAAGTTAAAACAAAAAGGCACAACCAGACTGTGGCAATAAAACAAAACGTTTTTCACAGATATAGCTACAATAAAAATTATATAAAATGAAAAGTTAGTCAAAATTGTTCTTCCTGACAATTAATACATAGTTACGAAATGATAAGTTTATAACAAAAGATTTTAGCAAATTAAATCAACTAACACAGATAAAGAGTCCCTATTAAGAAATCTACTATGAGTACAGCTCTTACCAGCATGTATCTACTTCAAACAGGAATAGCACCTATAAATAAAACTAGATGAAAGACAAGAGGAAAAGAATGTCTAGATTACCACAGTCAGTGCAGCATTAGACTAAACAATTCCCAAATAGTAACACCCTGAATATGGACCAAGCTGCTATGCATACATTCAGAGGGCATGAGTTTGGTTAAAGGACCCAACAAACATCAGCATGTCAGCGTAATGTACAACAAACCCCAAGTAACCAGGTGATACAAGTTTCTAACATAGCTTATAATACAGGTATGGTGCTGACACAACAAGAATTCTGATCAGATTTGAAACCAGTCACCTGATCCTGCTATAGTTAGGGGATAAAACTCTGTAAAGAGTGCCCAAACTATTTTCACAAGGTTGTTAATTTAAAGCTCGTAATTCGTATTGAGTATTTTCAAATATCGATAAATGTAACTCGTACATACGTATTAAACAAATTGACATGTCGTGCAATCATGTATGGAAATGATTAACCAATCAAGACAGCTTGCATTATGCTGAGCATTAACACTGGAACTTGACCCAAATACATTATACACTATGTGACATAAAACTGACGAGTTGTCGATTTCATCATGATTACAAACAGCCCAGGCTATGAAGAACACAAACCAGCTTTTGCCACCACAACATGTGCATACAGATATAACTAATAAGATAACAGTTCAGCATACTAATATCCTCAGACAAGCATAATATATTCATGAATACAACTGACAGGGAGAATTCCAAGAATGAAAAGTCAGTTTCATTTAATCTCGAGCATTGCTTAATTTTAATAACTTTTCTTATGCTGGAAGTATACCAACTGATCAGTTATGGTAATGTCTCATGAAGTTTTCACAGGGCACTCCATTTGAAAAAGGACCTACTGGACATTTTAGGCAGATCAATATCCCAACAAAGAATTATCCCTGTCACTGTAACACTATAACCACTAACAGCATGAACAATCCAGCAAACCAACACATGATACATTACTCAAGCAGGTGTATATGGACAATAGCTAATAAATAAACTGGGTAATAACATCTGTTATAGCACAATCTCACCTTCTGTGAGTTATGTTATTTTATCACCATTAAGTACTACACAGTTGTGTCGCAGCTAAGCAATGATATGTTGCATGAGATCACAGAAATAGTATCTGATAACCTGTACCAGTAGGATTGGAATAGAAACATGATGTGTGTCTACTTTTCTTAAAAGATACTGATATAATTTAGGAAAAAACAAAAAATCCATTACAAAATCACTTGAAAACTACATTTTATATTGTTTCACAATGTAAAATAGACTCTTTATTCCTGAAAAGTAAGACAATTGTCAAGTCTCAAACCTTGCAGTATGAGCTGCTGAAAAAAACTTAAGAACTACCTTACCAAGCAATGTAATAGTGCAGTCAGGATAATTAAATCTTAACTACAATTTCATGTAGGCTCAGGAATTTTCCACAACATGCAATCATTAGTTTATTCATTGAGTTATACAACTTCTAGACACTTAAGATATTTCATATTAATGAATTAACACAATTCACATAACCATCATTTATCAGAAAATATCATATGATATTTCAGTATTTGCAAAAATATTATGAGTTACGTTTTGTTTATAGACATTCATATTAAGTATATTTCATCGAAAATATAGAGTACCTGAATGGACAATGGCACAGTTTGCACATATAGCATACAGGATGGAACATTGATGTTACGGGATGAAAGACATTAAGGATGCACCACGTGATGTCAGCTGCAGAACGCCTAGTCTCTACATCATCACAACCTACATATTACAAGAACAACACAATAGGGATAGGAGCACACTAACAACCACGTCATATACAGTTAGGTTAGCAGCGACACAGAACACCAGCACCTTTCTCTGTATCTCAAGGGGTCCCATTAAACGTACACTAGCCCCGCCATCCATCCTGTGATTTCAAATTAACCGCCCTTGATTTGTAATTAAAAAATTGATTTGCTAAACTGCTCAGTCTGACTGTCAATCACCATGAGTTGCAAGGCAGTGTCAATGCTGGGTGGTCGATATGGATCCAGGCGATATGGATCCATTCAACATGGATCCAGTCATTACTGTAGGTTTACTGAAACACAAGCCCTGAAGATAAAGAGAATGCATACCTCTCATGTTCTTGTGACCTCTGAGAATAACATGCCTCCAAACTTGGTAGTCATAGCACTACGTTCTCAATTGGCCTCGTGTTCTGGCACACCTCAAATCCATTGAGGGAGTTGGATTTTACTGCAGCTTCAAACAGTATTTCAGCTTTACTCATGATGAAGGAAGTCTAAAGTAATGTAGGTCTCTGACAGATAGGACTTGATGAAATCAACAAGCCTAGCATTGTGCTGACAAACCTGGACAAATAACCATGGTAAACAAGGGATTTGAACCCATGATCATGCCTAAAGGGACACAACTCTGAATTTCTAAACCATACACAGCCACAAATACCCTCTAAACCATGTGATGGTCATGCTGAAAAAAAGAATCACTGAAACCTGATTGAGTAAAAATTAAATTTGTTAAAAATAATGCTGATGAAGATCAAGAGGAGCAAGAATCGTAAAAGATGGACAATACAAACCAGATTATGCTGACATGGAGGACCAGATATTGATACACAGGTGAGTATATATATAGCATGATGGTCCAGCATGGACGTAACATCATAGATAATGTGGATAGATGCATGAGCTGACTTGTTAATTATTAACTGGACACCCAGCATGATAGAAAATGGACAATGACAGAAAAATAGACATAAAGTCTAACATCATACAGATCTAAATTGCAGATGAAATATGATGGTGAACATTCTATGCACATTATACAAGATGGCAGCACTACTGAATACCATATACCTACTACAGCAGTTACATCCCAACAGGTCGACCTGTCACCAGCTGTTGACCTGCATGTATGGTTCTACACCACAGATTCACTGATGCAGGTACATAACAATCCTGCCATCTGCTCGATACTAATCCTTTACACAAAAGTCTTCAGGAAAATACCATTCATTGATAAACAGGTCACATAGAAGACCTGTGCAGCTAGACTACCGACACTTAGAGTCGTGGAGTATTATAAGCAGTAGCAGTACTGGACAGACTGATGGCAGCACGCTGTTCACTACTGAGTATTCAACTCAGACAGGCACTTCCATTTACTCACTTGGTTTAAAGATTCTTGTCACTTTATGTTTTCATCGCATTTTTTGTTTTGAATGACTTTTTGATCTCTCAATCGAATTTACTCCTGATTGTGAGTCAGATCTGTGAACCAAGTAAAGAAATGTCACCTCAGCACCTTACTTCACTGTATTGCAAAGTCACACGTCAGACTCCACCAGGGAAATCTTCTCTGTGTTGTCCTCGGGGCGCAAGTCAAACCTGAAGACACAAGAAAACACAGGGATCAAACACTATTACCTTGTGAACATGGACTGTTAATGGTTTACCACTACAGATTCAACTGATGTAGGTACTTCACAATCCTGCCACCTGACATCTGCTGCAAACTAATCCTTTACAGAGACTTATTGAGGAAAATATCATTCACTGATAAACAGGCACAGGGATCAAAACACTATTATCTTGTGAACATGGACTGATAAAGTCCAGTGTTACTGGAATACTATGCCTCACAATTAAGCCATTCAATTATTGTATTGAAACTCTGGGTTCGATTCTGTGAAACGTTCAATGTTCCTGGTTTCCCCTGCTGTGATATAGTTAGCATAATGATCACACACTCGCCATAGTATCCTTTACACTCTGTCATATCACTATCCAATCATTTGAAGAAACAGTCAGTTCTTAGGCAACATTCTTAGTTAGGGATACTACAGCTCAATGAAGATGATATTGCAAAGAAGCTTTCCACTCTACACAGTACTTCACTGGGACGAAACTAAACTCAATTATCACAACCGTGGAAGTGTCCCTCGTAACCAACCCAACTTCCCAAAGAACACTGAGCAAGATGAGTGAGTGAGTGAGAATGGTTTTATGTCGCTTTGAGCAATATCACGGCGGGTGACACCAGAAATGGGCTTCACACATTTTACCCATGTAGGGGATCGAACCCGGGCCTTCAGCTTGACGAGCGAACGGTTTAACCACTAGGCTACCCCACTGCCCCAGCTAGATGATGTAAGGCGAAGTGGGTTTCAAGGTTATTGCACTTATACAGGGATGATCATACATGTGTTTTTGTGTGCTATGCTGGTGTTATGGTGATAACATGCCACAGTTTAACATGGATGGCCGTCTCAGACACATTACACTGACTACAAGCTGACCAGTCTTGTATCACCCCGTTAATGCTAAGCGTCACCTTATATATTATTTTGGTGGGAAGGAGCAAGCATACACTCCGAAATGTCGTGTTATTCACAATAAAGAATTGACATCCATAAATCTTACTATTCTCACCGACATTCTGCTCTACAGGCACTCTGCTTTCTGTACTCTACCACCTGACATGGCGGTGGATGCACTGAAGCTTGAGCTGAGACTACACAAGAGCCTTCATGAATGAGATATTTAGAACCCAAACAAAAGGTGCCTTCCTCAAGATTAGGTACTGCTCAGATTATATGTAGGCTAGCAGCAGTTTAGCTTGCTTTTGTCCATACTCCAACTAAGATCCTGACTGGTACCAGATCAAGTCAAACACAGTTTTAGCCAAGATCCACTCTCGGACCTGATTATGTTAAGTACAGATCCACACTCAAACCAGATTAGGTTTGGTATTTCAAGATTGGAGAGTTTGTTAAAGGGAGGTAACTCACCACTCTGTAATTGCCTTGGATGTATCCAGGTTGTTAAGGTCAAGGTTGACGACGCCCATGATCTTCTTGCTGGAGGAGAACACCCCAACTTCATTCTTCACGCAGACCTCCAGCGACCTCTTTGGCAGCTCGGACGGACTAATTGGATACTCAAACCTAAAACAGAAAACCAGTTTCCTAGCAAATGAGTGAAAGTTTCAGGTCAGTGTGCACCTTTCCATAATGATGGAAAAAGTTTCAGATCTGAAGGGACACAGGCTTAACATAAAACTACTCTAAAACGAGGTATAATAATTTTCGTTCTCAGTTGTAATGCAGTTGCGGAAGCACTGTCTATCAACTTATTTACATTCTTGAACTTTCTCTGTTTTTAAAGAGTTAAACTCAGGACCCATATTAGTGAGTGAGTGAGTCTAGTTTAACACCACACTCAACAATATTCCCGCTATGTGATGGCAGTTTGTAAATAATCGAGTCTGGACCAGACAATCCAGTGATCAACAGCATGAGCATCGATCTGCGCAATTGGGAACCGATGACATGTGTCAACCAAGCCAGAGAGCCTGACCACCCAATCCTATTAGTTGCCTCTTACGCTAGGCATGGGTTACTGAAGATCAATATTCTAGCCCGGACCTTCATGGGTCCATATTATAAAAGGTTCCTTTTTAAGGAAAGGATCAGCTTCCTTGTATTCAACATATACCATCAGTGTGTGAGGTTGCTCATAATATTAAGCATCAGTTTGTCTAGCCCAGTTATGAATAGTTACATGCAAATACAGGTGGAATACTGCTGACTGAACAAATCAAAGTGAAAAAGAACTAAAGCTGCATCAGTAACATTCTCTTCCCACAGAGGTTACTCCTGTCATATCTTCCTACGTAACCTCTGTTCTAATACGGCCCTTTCATGGTGTGAGCGTTCAAGACTCGTGATTGGAGGCAATCAGATTTAGTTGTGCAATCAGCGACGTTGTTTCAAAAGTGATCATTCGCAAGGCCTCGGTAATTTCCGTATGCTTCGAGAAAACTAAACCTATTCCCCTGCGCGATGCGCAAACGTTTCTTCTAGACAGAACTCAGTCATGTTATGGCGGATCAGTGGCGTCTCCATCGCCCTCGTTGACAACGGACAAGCTAGCCATTAAACGTCTTGTGTGTAATATCAACACAAGTCCCCGGCAGATGGGGGATATTTGTGGCCCCACATTTGCTTGTATTAGTCAAGTTGAATCTAAGTCAATGTAACACGCGCTCTGATTGGATAGAAAGAAGGGAGAGAATTCGTGTTGCGATCTTTTGCCGCTAGGGGATTTTACGAGAACCGGGAAATATGGCCGTATTAGAACAGAGGTTCGTAGGAAGATATGACAAGTAACCTCTGTGGGAAGAGAATGCATCAGTAATTACAACCTTAAAAATTTGTAAGAATGATCATGGTTGATAAATATACTCCTGCCCTGGTGTCTTCCAAGCTGCTCAAAAACATCAAGTACTTACTGAATAAAGTACAATCTGTCTCAGCAAGCCTTGTATATTTGTACTTCCATCAATTTGTATTGAGACATTTGATCATGGGTGACACTTAAGTGTGATGCTCTATTTAGGGGTGTGTTTTGTTGTACATTGTATTAAAACTGACCAAATGTTAAAGTTATCTTGTAAGATCATCATATCCAAATATGACAGAAGTAAGAATGCATATAAGGAACATGTCACAGTTAACTCACGTCTCATCAAATACAGGGTTCAGGTTGTCTTTGATAACCTGCGTCTTTCCGCGTGGAGCTGGATTTCTCAGGCAAAAGGTACATACGCACATAGGGGTCAGACAGGTTGTTGCTGTCGAAAGGTCGCAGGTTTCTGTAATAATAAAACAAGAGGTATTTCTTAATTTTGTGACTGTTCAGTCAATAAGTTTAGCTCCATGCTACAATGTGCTTTGATGTGATTTCAAGTCAGCAAGTGGTGAGAACCTTATAGAGTGTGGGTTTGAAAATCGGATGGGACTCAACCCCTAAAAGTACCAGAATCTGTACCTAACTGAGAAAGTGTAATCCCAAAGGTTACATAGGTTAAATCTGCCAATTTCCACATGTCAGAAGACCATACAAAGCATGTGATCCAGGCTGTTAGTTGTCAGGCTTCAATTATTGTGGAAGCCGCAGTGGCTGGGTGAGTTGGGTAGCTGCCTTTGTGTGCTGGTGATTTGGTGCCTGACTCTGAGAGTGTGGGTTCAAATCCTGGACTGTACTCAACCAAAAAAGTACTAGAATCTGTACTTTATTGAACAAACATTATTTCTGAAAAGACCATGTGTATTCACAGTTTCATAAATATCTTAAATGACCATGTCCTTCAATATGATTTTATGTGTTCAGCTAAATAAGAACTTGTATATTAAAGGACATCTGAGGAAGAAGTCTGGTCTACTTACACGCATTTGTGCACGACGATGATGAGAGTTTGTCTCTGGGGGCTGTAACGGAACGTCATCTGGATACGTCCATTTTTATACTCGCCCCTTGCATCCACAACTCTGTCATGACACAATACAATAAATGCTCATCCTTGATTGAGGCATATTTAAACATACCATGTAAAACATGGTCAACAACAAATTGGGTTTTACCTGAACAAAAATCTGTTTGAATCTATTGTCCACGAATGTTAAGATTCCACTGAGTATATTGAAAGATTCACCATTTCTTAACAAAACAAGGCAGTCAAGGTAGCAAGCAAGACCTACTCATTAAAATAATTAGCAAAAATATCAATATCATTACACATTTTAAAATATCCAGATATTTGATCGGCCAGGCAACATCTGTGAAAACTCGTTGAAGTGCATGGAGATCACGATGTCATACTTTGTCATATGACATCAACAGCTTCTAATGTTATAACTGATCTTGTTCAAATGTTGAATTGCCATACCAGAGTGACTGGCTGTCAGATCTGACACTGTCATATGTCACTCAAAATATGTCTCCGTACTAGTGAACACATAATGGGAAAGTTGTTTAACAGCAGTTGGTTGTTTCAGGATTTTTATAGTACAGTGGAAACCGCCTAAGTAAAGACCGCTTAACTAAACAGACCTGATAAGTAAACACTTTTCTTTGGTCCCGGCAAATTTCTCCATTAATTATCACTATTAGAGTCCGGTTAACTAAACTCGGATAAGTAAACAATACCGCTTAACTAAATGTCTCTCACGGTCCCTGGAAGTAAATTACTTAACAAAAGAGACTGGATAACTAAATTTGCGATCACCACATAATCCGACATGAGGGGCAGTCGTGTCAGTCTCCAGTCAAACAAACATCCTGTTTACAGCTCGCTGGCGTCAAGCAGTTGACAATACACTGACAACTGGAGGCCATCCCTGATAAGTTGTTCATTGTTACATATGCATACATATACATGCATATGGTTGTCATTTGCAGGTTTTTATAAGTTTGGATAAGTAAAATACCTGATAAGTAAACAATTTTTGGCGAGTCCCTTGACATTTTACTTATCAGGTTTCCACTGTATGTGTGACTATCGATAGTTTAGTAACTGACTTCTGTTGATAAATGCGCAGTGCAAAATACAGGAAGTACCAGATTTGTTCACTTTGATTTAGAGTTATCCACCCCTGTTACCTCTTAAACAAACTTGATCTGGATTTAAAGTTTCTTGTCAGTTATTAAAAGAGACTGAAACTACTTCAACTTGTTTATATTACATATAAACTAAATATTCATTTGGGAAATGACTTCAAATGAGACAATTCAAGGAGAAAAAAACTATTGCAATAGTATTGCAAGGTTGGTCGCAATAGACTATCGCAATCGCATTAATAGTACGTTGCAATAGTTGTTTCCCCTCAATAGTCACCCCTATCAATAATACAAAGCTACACTTCAGTTGGAGAGGTAACTGGACAGATACAAGATACCTTGATGTCAGACAACTCACTTCTGCTGCATGGCTGGTGCCTTTCTCTGCCGGAGACTACTTTCGGCATCCACGGAACTGGACGCAGGTGGAATCACTTCATCCGCAGCAGGAGCAGGCTGAGACGGTTGTGATGGCTTGTCAACAGACGTCCCCTCGGGCTTCTTCTCTGCAGGTGACCCTCCTGCGTCCCCAGCCCCCTCCTTGGCTTCTCCCTCCTTCTTGGGGGGTGGTTCAGTGATAAGGGGTTCACTTTCATCCAGCCAGTCAGCATTGTAGTTTGGAGTCAGCACCTATGACATAAGCACAATTCAATAACTGCTTCTTTGGTCATTTGAAAGAATTCCCTACTCCAGAATAACATGAAAACATTATTTCACGAAGAAGAGCTAATTCTTTAGTTTTATTTTGTCATTCTCAATAATCCATCATTATTTTACACTTAATGTGAGCTTCACCAAGAAGTTGTGAGCTTAGAGCTTCAGGTTTGACAGTGAACTGTATATGAAAGAGTAATGAAGTGTACACGATGTTGTACGTAGTAAGTGTACTTGATAGTGTACATAAGTATATATGACAGTGTAAATGACAAAGGACATAAGTGTATATGAATATATATCAGTGAATATCACGCTGTATTATACAGTGTACACCACATTGTACATGACAGTACATAGGAGTGAGTTTTGGTTTTACGCAGCTTTTAGCAATATTCCAGCAATATCATGACAGGGGACACCAGAAATGGGCTTTACACATTGTACTAATGTGGGGAATCGAACCCGGGTCTTTGGCGTGACGAGCAAATGCTTTAACCACTAGGCTACCCCAGCACCCAGTACATAGAAGAGTATTTGACAGTGTATATAATAATGTATGTGACAGGGCATATGACCGTGCACATTAACTAATATGACAGTACTAATATAACAGAAGATATAACAATGAACCTGATAGTGTATATGATTGTTTATAGTCTCACCCTGAGAGCTAGCCTCATGTTCAACATTCCGGCAGGCCCATTCTGTTTGAGGGCAAACTTCTGGTCCAGTACCATGTCTGTAGCTGACAGCAGTTCCTTCAGCTTGATGGTCACGGCCGATCACCTTGTCACTCTTGCTGTCCCGCACCTACCACAACATGGGAGACAGCAATCATAAAAGTATGGTCATCAGAAGACCATATACCTCAACTTCAGTCACCACATCAGTAAAGAAACTAAAGACTCGTGGGAACCCTTATATAGAGATACAGCTTGTTCAGCTTGACCTGAGCTGCTCTACATATGCATGACCTGGGAGATCAATTGTCCCAAACGGCAGGTTGAGTTAACTTCATTAAATAGGGGAGCCGTGAATGTTAAGCAACGACCTTGTCTCGGCTGTTAGGACATGTTGACGATCAACTGACAAAGGTGCACCCCTTCACAATAATAGGCCGAACCAGTTGTGACACAGTCACGCAATACATTAGTATTCACTTGATCAGGCTGAACAAGCTGTATAAGTACAGGCTGAGAGGGTTGAAAGTGAGTCAGTGAGTGAGTGACTTTAAGTCCTACGCTGCTTTCAGCAATATTCCAGCAATATCATGGGAACACCAGAAATGGGCTTCGATGTGACGAGCGATTGCCTTAACCACTAGACTATCCCACCGCCCCGAGAAGGTTGAGAGAGCGAGCTGGTTTGATTATTGCTATCAACCATATTCCAGCTACTGGTATATCACTCTGAGGAAGGTCATTGTGATGCAGATCTCAGGAGTACAAGGGCACAGATATGCAAACCGAGAGTCTGGGTGAAGTGGCATTCAAACCTACAATCATAGGTTTCTGGTGTGCCAAAGGGACACAACTCTTAATGACAAACTGCAGTACCTTATACAATTGCGGCATGCCCATGCCCTTGAAGTGAAGTATTTGCTAATTGTACAGGAAAATTTAGATATCTGTAAAATTGTTGTTACATTTGCAACATTTCTCAACAAATACTGTATGTCATCAAATCTACCACAGTAGTATCAAGACCGAATATTATCTCCCTTGCTTTCTCACCTCAACATCCAGGTTCTGGTAGTGGGGGTTGTGGATGAGGAAGCGGAAGTTCTCCTCCCAGCGTGGCTCATTGGTGTTGGCCTTGATCCCACTCTTGTGCTTACTCTGACCCACGTACAGGTTCACTTGGGGGGATGGTTCAGATAAGGTCTTCTTCCCTCGCTAGAGAGTGGGAGATTATCAGAATGAGGTTAACATATCAGAGTGAGGCTGACATGTATCAAAGTGAGGCTGACATGTATCAAATTGAGGCTGACAAATACACTCAGATTACCTGTTGGCCTTTGCCATTGCAATAAACATGGTACAAACATTTGTCAGTTGCTGAAAATGAAATAAATATTGGTGGGATTTGGTTGACAGTCATTTGTTTACAGTTCTTTAACGATAAAAAGCAAATTAAAAGAACAAGCAAATAACTATAAACAGAAGGACTGCAAAGAATCAAAGCAAGTATTTATGTGACCATCACGATGAAGACTTACTGAAGAGTTAACACATTAAAGACAAAGTACAAAATTCATGACTGGCAACTACTAGCAACTAAACAAACCAGCAGATACAGCAGATATACATACATGAAAGAAACAGAAACTGTGCAGTATCATAATGGGACAAACATATCAGAGACTTCATACTTTCAGAATTATTGCGCCACAAGGAGTGGCAAGCATTCTACCACTGACTTATTTCTAAAAATCCCCAAACCACATTACTGCCAAGTCTCAAGATCTATCCAGGGAGGGAGAAGGACCATCACCCAAGCAGACACAAGTCACCATATAACTGATGATGGAGGAGGAGGGAGGAGGAAGGGGGAGAAGGTTGCTGTCCTGATGCTGCAACAACCACGTCCATATCCTATCATGCCTTCATCATGGGAGACAGTCATCCTCTGACATGCTTACATCATAGAACCACTCCACATGCCAATATTCCTCCTGAGATCATCTTCATTTATCCAGGGAATTATAACTATTCGTTTATAATAAATACCCTGGACCAGTTCTCTATCACTACTTTGTTTTGAGCCTGATGGCTGTGATACTTCCTGAATGTGGCAGTGATACAGGCGGTCCAGGGTATGTATCACAATGGCAAGGAGTGTATCATGTTTTGTTTAGCTCGGTATGATAGTATGTCATTGTGGGGAACAGTTACAACCCTAGGAAGCCCAGCCTCCAGTCCACAGTCAGGGTATCCTCATTCATCCCGACAGGTCTTACAGGAAAACAACAGCATGTAGATCAGTGAACTAACACTCACTTTACTTCCATATTGTGTATTTCGGCGTAGCCAAACAAAGGTCACAAAGAGGGTCCCTGACTCACACACAATGAGGGATTTCACAAACACACACAGCGAAGGGTAGCTCACACATACCCATGGCAAGGGCTATCCATACCACACACACAGCATGGGTTATCCCCAACAGACATAGAGCAAGTATTATCCTCAACACACAGCGAAGGGTAGCTCAAACATACCCACGGCAAGGGCTATCCATACCACACACACAGCATGGGTTATCCCCAACAGACATAGAGCAAGTATTATCCTCAACACACAGCGAAACACACATACCCATGGCAGGGCTATCCAGCACACAGCATGTATGGTTATCCCAACAGACATAGAGCAAGTATTATCCTCAACCAACGAAGGGTACCATGCTATCCATACCACACACAGCAAGACATAGAGCAAGTATTATCCTCAACACACGAAAGGTAGCTAAAACCACAGCAAGGGCTACACACACACAGCATGGGTTATCCCCAACAGACATAGAGCAAGTATTATCCTCAACACACAGCGAAGGGTAGCTAAAACACATACCCAGCAAGGGCTATCCATACCACACACACAGCATGGGTTATCCCCAACAGACATAGAGCAAGTATTATCCTCAACACACAGCGAAGGGTAGCTCAAACATACCCAACGGCAAGGGCTATCCATACCACACACACAGCATGGGTTATCCATACCACACACACAGCATGGGTTATCCCCAACAGACATAGAGCAAGTATTATCCTCAACACACAGTGAAGGGTAGCTCAAACACACACACAGTGTGGTAAAGTGAGTGAGTGAATTTGATAATGCCGCTTTTAGCAATGTTCCAACTCTCACGGCGGGGGACAGTGAGGTAAAGCCCCAACATTCAGAGAGCAACGGACATCCCCAACACATAAACACACTCACACACAACACACACATTGAAGGACACCCCAACACACAACACGCCCCTAACCCTGATGTTGCTGTTTTCCCAACAGACCTGCCACGTCACCTCCCCTGTCCATCTCAAAACCTTGCAGTCCACTCACTAACTTATTCCACACTTTAGAATTTTCTGGTGTATATACTACTGCCTGAAATAAAGATAAAGTGCATCATTCAACCCGTGGCACACAAATGCTGTAATGAGGCGTGTAACGATACAGAGAACAGGCGATGTGGTGTGAACAGTGGTAATTGCTACAGAGCAGTCCATCGTGTGAGGTAATTTATCACTGATGATGCAGGATTCAGTGGTACCATCATTGTATCGTTACATTCCTGTTTCAAATCACACAGAGGTGCTGAACAAACACTGTTAACCAACTGACAATCTTCAGGTATACTATTTCTGTAGATTCAATACCAAGACAGCCTGAAAGTCCAATATCTGATTGCCATATAAATCACATATCCTGTCTTAATCTGTCATGATAAATACCCTAGACAAATGTGCCGTCATACTTTTGCTTTCAGTCCCTTATGACATGAAACACAGGAATGAAAGAACAGCATTTAAATACACTGTTCTAGCAACCATGTCACAGTACTCTCCGCATGACTTTCATGTGGCATCTAAAAAATACTGGTGTCTAGCCCAAAGAGTGAGTGAGTGAGTTTAGTTTTACGCCGCTTTCAGCAATATTCCATCAATATCAAGGTGGGGGGTACCAGAAATAGGCTTCACACAATGTACCCTGTGGGGAATCGGACCCAGGTCTTCAACGTGACGAGCGGATTCTTTAACCACTAGGCTACCCCACCGCCCCTCTAACCCAAACACCAGTGAAGGTCCGGGTTAGAATATTGATCTTCAGTAACCCATGCTTGTCGTAAGAGGCGACTAACAGGATCGGGTGGTCAGGCTCGCTGGCTTGGTTGACACATGTCATCGGTTCCCAATTGCGTAGATCGATGCTCATCATGTTGATCACTGGATTGTCTGCTCAAGACTCGATTATTTACAGACCGCCGCCATATAGCTGGAATATTGCTGGTGCGGCGTAAAACTAAACTCACTCACTCACTCTAACCCAAACAACATTCCCTCATTTGGTACCACATTACAGTCCATAATATCCAATTTAAATTACTGCTTCCAATTTCATAGTGAATGACCTACTTATAAGGTAGATAACTGCTGTCTGACAAAGTAAAAGAAGATATTGACAAATGAACACATGGTGTTGACTAATTGTAGCAGCAATATAATATCAATGAAGTCAAGGCTACCAAATTATTCACAAATTCTGAAAAAACAACAAGAGACTGAAATAGTTTGACAAACTGAATATTTCTTCAACAAGCATATCTACATTCATCAAACCCTCTACGGTGAGGTATTTAAATATAGTTGAACAAAATGCTCATCCAGAAATTATCAATTTTACACAGATAAACAGAACAAATACAAACCCTTGTTTCTTGTCTTGCAATAAGCATTGTCTAAAGTATGTTTTAGTGGGAAAAAATGAAGGCTTGAAGTGAACAATATGGTTCCTATTGGCATTGCATTTCTATGGCAACCAGAATGCTGAATGATGCAATTAAACATTAGAGTGGAACAAACATAAATATGCCAATCAAACAACAAACTCCAATTAGCACAAAATATTTCAATCACTTATTTCAACAACCGTCAATCACAGCAACACAAATAGTTCATGTTAGTCCGGAACAGAACACAACATTTACCCAATACCCATCTCGTTTAGGGCTGCCCTGCAGACAAAGGTCAAGTTAGTGGGGTCAAGGTTATCTCAAAAACAACATAAAAACAAGGAATGATTTATTACAATGACCATTGTACCACAAAGCATGTCCATGCTGGGTAGAATTACACTAAATATCATCTACTTGAACCATTTGTTACAGTATACAGCAAGGAGGTGGTTGTTAGTTCAATATCTACCAGCACACTGTGTTAACCTAAATAATTCATGTTGTTTCCATTGAGAAATAAGCCAACAATGTAGGCTGATATCAGCTGCAACAATTAATCAGTGTATCACTATATCGTGTGTTGCTATTTGGGCAGATATGGGCTGCAACAATTCATTAGTGTAATACTACATGCTATTGAAGAACTTTGATGTCAAATATCCGTAGAAACTTAAACATGTAAGACGCGTTATATTTTGAATAGCACAGTTGTATTATCTAATTAGAAAGATTAAACGCTATTGGTTTCGACAACTGTGCTAGTAATATTTAGTACTTTATTTCCTTTCATTAATAGTATATCAAAAAGTGTTGAGTGTTATGTTTTATGTTGTGCACTGTATCAGGACATTACTGTCAATGTCATGACAAGCGGGGAACAATCACAGCAGAGCGGATTGTTGCTGAACAATCACAGAAGAGCGGATTGTCGCCTAACAATCACAGCAGAGCGGATTGTCGCTGAACAATCACAGCAGAGTGGATTGTTGCCTTACTATCACAGCAGAGTGGATTGTTGCTGAACAATCACAGCAGAGTGGATTGTTGCTGAACAATCACAGCAGAGTGGATTGTTGCTGAACAATCACAGCAGAGTGGATTGTCGCTTAACAATCACAGCAGAATGGACTGTCGCTGAACAATCACAGCAGAGCGGATTGTTGCCTAACAATCACAGCAGAGCGGATTGTTGCCTAACAATCGCAGCAGAGGGAATTGTTGCAGCAGTGGATTGTTTTTGAACAATCACAGCAGAGTGGATTGTTGCTGAACAATCGCAGCAGAGTGAATTGTTGCTGAACAACTGAACCAGAGTGCATTGTTGCTGAACAATCCTGAATGGATTGCTGATGGACAAATTGTGATGCAGTATATAATTACATCCCCCCTCAATTAGCACAGGAGAAGAAAAAGAAATGAGAGAGCAGCAGAAAGTCATCTATACTACACAAAAGAAGTAAAGGAACATCTGACTCTCTATTATACAATAGTCGTGATAGTTAATCAGTTAGAAAGAATCAAATAATCCTTAACACCTTTGAACAGGATACAAGTTAGCAAGTTAACAAGTTAACCGCACAACTATGCAATTGTATTCTTCTAACATTATATTGTGTTTTACCCACCACCTGTTTGTACAAACCCTAGCAGAGCATTAGCTGTCTTACCAATAAACGATCAGGCCTCAAAAGATCAGGCCTGGATTCAGACACTTTCTATCAATGTGAACAAAAGTTGCAGTTAGATAAAGAAACTGTTCTCTATGATGACGTCAGAGTGTATTAGTTCAAAGGTCAGGCAAAGCACATTTTGGACATAACCTTGGTTACACTGCTTACAATGTAAGTTACATGCTTCAACAGCCATTATGTTGTAGAAGTGTCAAATTACTATTGGGAATGAAACAACATTTACTGAGGGAATGACAGAATATTAGCAGTAGGTTGATAAGACTTACTGGAAGGTCCCGGGCGGAGTCAAGGTTGACCAACAGAATACAGGATGACACGCTGTCATCGTCTTTGCTCTCCTCCTGCACCTGTTGGACCACCTGGGGACAGACATAAGATAGATGTTATACACAAGGGCAAGGTCACAATCTCCTATTCAGTGATGCCATGGTAACAGGTGGGCACAATGTTGCTATCACAATTATACTGAAAACAAATAGAGCTTTTAAAAAACCAGTTGTTGTGGCATTAGCACATGGAGAGAAGTTGCTGTAGCTCAACAATACCGCGAGTCCATGAAGCAATATTACTGAAACACAACTATACTGATGTATATATAATATAGATCTATACAATACTCTCAAGTCTTGTGAAACAGTGTGTCCCTCAGAGGTTGAGCGGCATAACCTAGCAAATAATTCATTGCAGTTGACTCTCGTATTACCATTTACACATGCCAGAAAGTCATGATAGTATCTTCCCCAGTTTGAAATACAGTAACCAATTTGTAAAAAGATGTGTTCACAAATACACACTTTTTGAAGACACTTTTAACCCCTATTTTCTGTTTCTATATTGTGCTTATTACCAATATTGTTTCTGATGTGATATCTAGCACTAACAAACACATTAATGTAGTCCTCAGGTCAAGATACTACAACACACAGAGTGAATAGTCTTCGTCAGCAATATCCAAGCCACACGACAGCTGCCTGTAAAGGACTATTCATAATTTATGGCAACAGCGGGTGATGATAATTTTTATGGAGAAGCATGTACAGTGTGAATGAACCCCCTAAAATTTATGTACAAAGTAAGTGACCATCTCCCCACTGCATATCATGTACAATATCGATGACCCCCTCCCCCTTCCCATAATTTTTAAGCATAACGTTGTAATATTTATATGTACAAAATTGCTGACCCCCCACCTCTCCAGAACAAAATGGGTGCCCCCAAAAAAAAAATAAATAAATAAATAAATAAAAAAATAAAATAAAAAATAGATAACAAAAAAAATGAATAGATAAATATATAAATAAAATAATATTAAAATAAAAATAATCATTACCCCCACCCCCCTTGCCATAAATTATAAATGGTCCCTAAGTAATCTTGCCTTGTCCAGTGAATGATAGCATGAGCAACAGGCAGGTCACCTATTATCCACACAGTAACCATAATGTCCACTTTTTAATAGCATGGAGTACAGGGGATCTTCTTTCCACAATGTTTCTTGACTCAGATAACAGCTTAGAACTCTGTGCAACTGAAAGACATGCTGATATCTTGCTGTACTGATATCTCTCTGATGGCATCCTGACTAACAGGAATCGGATGTTATACTGAATTAAGTATTCTCTGGTTAAACATGGTAAAGTTAAAAAACAAAACTACAATAAATTTTGAGGTTTTGTAAGGTGTAGCATTTATGCCAGTCTTTCAAGTACACAAAGCAGCTAAAAAATAATGTCCATGTATCTTTTACTACACTGCCATGTCATACACTAATGTCTTCACCATGACACCATACTAAAATGACAGAATAGACCATTTCACAATCAGAATATACCGGTACATGTGATCAGCTGGTGGAAGAACTACCCAGATAATACATGCTTTGTGATAAATTTTAAAAAAAAATATTTAAATTGTGTGAATGCATTCATTCAAGAAATATCATGCGAAATAAGAATATGCACGAAAAATCAAATTAGCTTGTAAACTTTACAAAAATACCACAAATAATAGCAAATTAATTTCTATGAAATCTATAATCAAACATATTTTGAAAACTATTCAAAGTGATTCTTTGAATGAAGTCAAGTGAATACTATAAACAAAGTCGACCTAAATTCTAAAGAATACTAAAGCCAGACTTTTTTAAACTAGCTTTCTGGTTCAGCCATTTCCCCCAAACTGAAATGTGTGTAAAATGATTTGAAAAACTTTGGATTTTTTAAAATCATATTTCCAAAGCATTGAAAATAGTATAATTTAAGCCTCTTGAAAATATACCTTAAACACTCACACACAGCAAATTATGATCAATTGCAAAATGAATTAAAACCATATTTGAAGTTTTAGGTTTTATTTCTGTTATTTAAGACCAACCTGAAAAATAGGACAAAAAAGTCTGGCCTTAAACAGAATGTAAATGAAAAATTAAATTTTAACACAAATTATTAACAATAACTGTCTCTTGATCATGTTGATCACATTCATCAGAAAGAAAATAGTGTTATTTATTAATCTTACTCTGGCACTCTCAGTTACAATAATTTCACTTCTATCACAGTGATAACTGGCAATGTGATGTCACACGTGCTATGTTAGATTGTTATATATCACACAGGATGGTATGAAATGTGGGATATCTGCTGTTATACGACACAGTGAATTTTCTTTGTCATACATTGTCCTTGCTATTTTTCATATACAGGAAGAGTGGTAGGAGATGTAGTATGTGCAATAATATATCACGTGGCACGGAATAATGTGACAACAATGGTGTTAGATCACGCGTTTATGCAGGATGGTATGATGGGTTACCATGTGATCAATGCAATAATCCACCAGATGGTACATACACACTGTACTACACAACACACTGTGTACAGCCTGTCGAATGACATAGCTGTCGAAAGAATAGCTGCATGGTATGACATGTGTGATATGTGCAATAATACACTATATGGCACATAGTGTACTGTCTCGCTTGGTCACACATTGCCTTTGTCACACCATACATGTAGGCTGTATGGTATGACATGTTGTGCAATAAGTGCAATAATACACCATATGGCACGTAGTGTACTGTCTGTCTTAGTCCCACACTGCCTTTGTCACACCATACATGTAGGCTGTATGGTATGACATGTTGTGCAATAAGTGCAACAATACACCATATGGCACGTAGTGTACTGTCTGTCTTAGTCCCACACTGCCTTTGTCACACCATACATGTAGGCTGTATGGTATGACATGTTGTGCCATAAGTGCAATAATACACCATATGGCACGTAGTGTACTGTCTGTCTTAGTCCCACACTGCCTTTGTCACACCATACATGTAGGCTGTATGGTATGACATGCAATAATACACCATATGGCTGTATGGTATGACATGTATGGTATGACATGTTGTGCAATAAGTGCAATAATACACCATATGGCACCATACACGTAGTGTACTGTCTGTCTTAGTCCCACACTGCCTTTGTCACACCATACATGTAGGCTGTATGGTATGACATGTTGTGCAATGTGCAATAAGTGCAATAATACACCATATGGCTGTATGGTATGACGTGCAATAAGTGCAATAATACACCATATGGCACGTAGTGTACTGTCTGTCTTAGTCCCACACTGCCTTTGTCACACCATACATGTAGGCTGTATGGTATGACATGTTGTGCAATAAGTGCAATAATACACCATATGGCACACCATACAGTGTATACTGTCTGTCTTAGTCCCATACTGCTGTCTTTGTCACACCATACATGTAGGCTGTATGGTATGACATGTTGTGCAATAAGTGCAACAATACACCATATGGCACGTAGTGTACTGTCTGTCTTAGTCCCACACTGCCTTTGTCACACCATACATGTAGGCTGTATGGTATGACATGTTGTGCCATAAGTGCAATAATACACCATATGGCACGTAGTGTACTGTCTGTCTTAGTCCCACACTGCCTTTGTCACACCATACATGTAGGCTGTATGGTATGACATGTTGTGCCATAAGTGCAATAATACACCATATGGCACGTAGTGTACTGTCTGTCTTAGTCCCACACTGCCTTTGTCATATCATGCATGTAGGCTGAATGGTGTAGTGTAAAATGTGCAATAATACACCACATGTCACATTGTTTACTGTCTGCCTTGGTCGTAAACTGTCTTTGTCGGATCATATATCAGTGGCGGATCCAGGTATGGTATGAAATGTGGGATATCTGCTGTTATATGGCACACAGTGAATTTTCTTTTGAAACACCCCCCCACCCCCCTTTGAAAATGACTAAAGACCACATTCAAGTTAATGTTTTGCTAATGACCCAAATGTTAGTGTGTTGTATGATGTGTGTACAGGATAATATATGTTTCCATGTCATACATGCAATGATGCACAATATGATACAGTGTGAACTGTGAACTTGTGTAAGCCCTTCACAAATCTTCATTAACAAGGAGCAGTGTGGAGAGCTTTGTTCCCTCCTGATAATTGTTAATCTTCAAGATATAGAGTTATTGATAATAGGGTCTCCATGACATAAAATTCGGTTAATGTCAGTTTTAATGAATCTGCCTCAAGACAAACAACATGTATCTTGATGTCACAAATTCCTGTTTTTATACGTTAATCCAATTTACAAAGTTAAAACAGATCGAAATGCTTTCTCAAGAATAATTATGCTTTAACCAAATATTTATCTGACATCTGGAAATAACAGATAATCAATGTTTGGTACATACAGCTATATGAGATATTAAACCACAGAAAAATCAATATGACATTTACAAGCACCTGCTCAACTGTATGACTGAAGGTCTAGCTTTATTGACCTTCCAAGTAGCCTGTCCTACTTGGATGTCAAGTATATTTGTTGAATGTGAGATGGCTCTCTGGCCACTGGCCCACCTCTTTCTGTATCTCCACTTAGTTATGACCAATAAAGATGTCAGTCATCTGACTGAGCACAATGCCCTTGGGCTGACATCCCATCTACCATAGTGACATCTGTTTGACCTGCCATTTTGAAGTCAATGCTTGGCATGCTATGGCTATCTGGATTTCTTCCTACTGTTGGTGAGTGAGTGAGTGAGTTTGGTTTTACGCCTCACTCAGCAATATTCCAGCTATATAGTTTTAAACAACCTTAATAAATTCTGCCTGAGGTTGAACAGAACCACTTTATCCAATCCACTGGTCATCAAATGAATCGACGAGTGAGTGAGTTCAGTTTTACACTGCACTCAGCAATATTACAGCTATATGGCGATGGTCTATAAAGAATCGAGTCTGGACCAGGCAATCCAGTGATCAACAGCATGACCATCGATCTACGCACTTGGGATACGATGACATGTGTCAACCAACTCAGCGAGCCTGACTACCCGATCGCGAAATGACCCTTCTGTCATGCCTGACGTTTCCAACATTACTCCCTTTTTAAGTCAAGATTATAGTTATTTATATTTTAAAAGTAAATTAATACAAACTTAATTATTGTGCGTTACTATATATGTCTTTCTTTATGCGGTTTTATACTTCTTTGATAACATAACAGTCCAATTTGAATTATTACACAGAGTTATAGAAATCGTATAGCCGCATAAATAACAAGTTACACTAACTGTTGAGGATATTTGATTGGTTGATTGTAGATAAGACCCACAGATTGACAAACTCATTCTTCATTTTATAGAGACTGCCACCTGTTCATGTAAGTCAACAGATGAAACATATTCCAGGTACTCATGTTGTGTACTTTGAACCGACAAATAATTTGCATTTAAAAAAATCAGAATACTGCATCTACAATTAGATCTAATTCCTAAATTATTAACATAAATAACTACATTAGCCATTTAACCTATGCACTACGACCTATCACTATGAAACAAATATTACCTTTTACTCTCAAGAAAATTACAAACAAATAAAAGTCAAAATCTGTCCTCTACCACTATTTTCTAATAATGAACTAAAAATAATCAGGGGTAAACATGATAAAGTTTTTTTGTAGCAAATGATCAATGATCCATGACACAAAAACACAAGTGACTGCTTTATGTTAGCATGAAACACAAGACAGTTAGGCTTGCTGGCATGTCAATTTCCAAGCAATAATGAAAACAATGTACAGTAGCAGCATTATTGGAGTGGCTTCTTGGGGAGCAATATTTACTAGCCCAAACACAGTTAACATATATATGAACACACCCAAAAGGTAAATAAAGCTAGGCTGGTCCTTTGGAGACATTAAACATTAGGCAAACTGACTTCAGCAGGAAGGCTTGTACCAGGTGGCACTGTGGAGTGCAATAGCCTTGTTTCACATACAGCATAATTTTATTATGTTTAAGTCATAAAAAATCATCATGCATAAATTAATAGTTTTGATAAATCATTAAAACTAATCAAATAATCAAAATTCTGAATGTAATCCCTGTTTTGAGAAAGTTAGCCATGGTACTGTTTAACATGTACAATAAAATGATGAAAATATTTCATAGGATAATATACATGTACAAGATGGCTGTGGAAGCATTGTTTTCTTGTAACCAGCTATATTCGTCCACTCCAATAATGGCTGTGTACAGTTAAAGCATTATATCTGTGCAATCAACATGAAGTGAAAGAGATGAAATCCTGGCAAAGCAATCACACGTGATAACAGAACTTACCACAAGACACAAGCAGAAGTGTTGTGTGACACGGAAGAAACAAAAAACAAAATAAATATGTGCAGAATATTACACGGTATAGCAGGTACACGTTGGGGCAGTGTGCTAAAAATACACATCTAGGCTAAACTACAAATAATACACAAACCACAGTAACAGTATTACAATACAAGATCTACAACACAATTGGAAAAACTGTACTTCTACTTAAACCAAATTTGTGTGTATGCCAATTCTTTCCTGAACCAAGGGGTGGCAACTCTTGTCTACACCTACAAACAGTAACTGGTTTTCTTCATTGTCTACATATAATCCCAATTTGAACAGGCAAACCACTGACTGATAAGATGTCCAACTGAACAAGTAAACATATAACACATGACCCATACAGTAGCCTGAAGACTGCAGGAAGTTGCTCAATACATAATTCTCAGAATCCTATTTGGGACTTTGATTAAATAGTAATTCAGTTAAAGAAAAACAAACATTAAATAATTTCCATACCCTCATTGCATCGTACACATAATTTGGGGAGAAGTGATTTTATTATGATACCAATTGTTTTAAGAACAACTAGGGGTCTTGTGGGAGGTACTACTCTGATAGGAAGGTGCAGCTATGCAGGCTAGCTATAATCATGCACGCTAGCTCTCGTTGTACTCTCCACTGCCAGTATGAACACACTGTGGATTCTCAGGGATCATAACTTGAAATCTAACAAAAAATCAGATCTTTCACTCCTTTTCGTTACCTCTCTAGTCTCTGTCAAGCTCTAACAAACCCTCCCTAGGAAGTCATATCACGTGAACTTTCCCATCAGCCAATCACTGCTGAGGAATCCCAATTGTCAGTATGCGCATGTTAGCATTTTGAACAGTTTCTTTCACTTTCTGTATCTCAAAACTTAATGTAAGGGGGCAGTTCTGAGTGGAGAAAGGCTATTCGTGTTCATGCACCCAAGTGCCATGGGCCAACACCCAGAAGCATTTACCATACTGGGATAGGTTGATTTTTGTGAGGGTTTCTTTTGTAAAGTCTGAAATTTCTGAGTTGATGGGATATACAAACAATAGCCGAATAGTTTTAGAAAGCTGACATCTGATGTGCTCAAGAAGTTACACATCTTTTATTTTTACTGGATGGCCAAATTTATATCAAAGTGACATTCTGCAAAACATCTAGACACAAAAAAGTAGGGAAACAGAGTGCAAGATCTTATTTTACTGAGACGGTAAGAGCCTGTGTTTATATACAGTTTGATACAGTGTTGCATTTGGAATGTTCCTGAAATCTCACTCAGTCCAGAATCTTAATCATTTATGCACAAAATGTCTGAAGCAATTAGTGTGAATTTAAAAAATGTTACTTTTATTTACATGTATTAAATTTTTTTTAAATTTCCAAGCAATTACATCAGTATAGTTACAAGCAATAGCAGCACCGTTTGATATTTCTGTTATTGTACATGTTGTAAGATGTATCAGTATACAACAGTTGTGACAGAACATGGAACATGGAACACTCACCCTGTCCAACTCCAGAGGGTCGTTGGCCAGATACAGCCACTGCAAGCGGACGTGGACGAACCCGGTCTTCACATTCTCCAACTGCAGCCACTGAAACAATATCAAGTACGCTGTATAAGTTCAAAGTCAAATATTGCCATGTACCTACCTTCGTACATTCACAGCGAAACATGGTCAAAAACTCTTTGTGAGTCAGTAGTGTACCCTTTGTAAGTTCACAGTGAAACACTGGCACGTACCCTTTGTAAGTTCACAGGGAAACACTGGCATATAACCTAAAGCTAGTGGTGTACCAATAACAGGATATGGTACCAATGGGGGTCACATAAAGAAAAACAGAGGGTACTTGAAAGATAATTATCCTGAAATAACATCAGCCCACAATAATATGTGAATTACTGCTAAATTGTGGAGTCCTTGTAATACAAATTTTGTTATTATAATGTTAACTTCAATACCACAAGGGAAAGGGGGGTGTATTTCTGAACTGTGACAGCCAGTTGCAGGTGCCTGCCAGTTGGTACTTACCTCATCCACCATGCCCCTCTCAAACACATGAGATATGTCAACAGAAGCACTGCAAGGAGAATATACAGTATTAAAGTGGAAGTGAGGCGAGGTGACGTTGCATGTATCATGATGGCACATACCAAAAAGTGGCCTTTTTGGTCCTAATATCTGTGGAATTCACAGCTTCAGCAGAAAATTCTCACACCTGAACATGTTGAACGAGCACTCGATGTGGTTCAAAAGAATAAGCTATACAAACTGTATTCATATCAGGAATCTAACCCAGATCTTCAGTAAAACAAGTGAACACATTAACCATTGTGCCATATAACGACCACCCCTATGTATAAATTATGACTGTGAATAAATCTACACAACAGTTTTAAAAGTTTATTACACAACAGTGGTGTGGAAAGATAACGGACAACATAGTGAAGTGTGAGTACGTACTTTCCCAGTGGGTCATCCTTACTCCCTGGGTCATCGTCCAAGGACGTCCACCTGCAGGCACTGTCCCTCCGCAACATCCACAATAGCCTGCAGGTGATCAAGTGTTTAAAGATAACTTCCAAACTGAACATATTATAATAATTAAGATCATACTAATTAAGCAATCTTTTCAAGGTAACTAAAAACATAAACACAATAAACAAAAGCATCATAAGATGAAACAAGATTCATGATAAAACATTAACATAAAATGTGCACAAAAAACTACTTAGAGTAACTTTTAACTTTACAGAATATCTTAATCATGCTAAAATGTTAGATCCAGTGAAACAAAAGTAAAATCAGTTGTCCCCATGTTGTTTTACTGAGAGACTGATGATCTACATTCACAAAGAAATGATGTAAAGATTAAAAATCAACTTGAGAACCTCTCAGCAATTTGCATGTTTTCAAATTACTAAGCTGAAAAAGTAATGACTTTTGATTTATGGAGCTCATGAGAGTGTGGGTATTGTTCTATATTATTTTAGGAATATCCCAGCCATACACAGACAGCTGTTTGTGTGGGCTTCATACTGTCTTAAAGCCTTCTCTGGATGATGACTGAACACTAAACAGCTAGATTACCCTACCTTGATTGCTACAAAACAACAGATGCTGATCATGTCGATAGTTATTACAACATCACCATGTATCAGGGTCTGACTCTTCCTCTACTCTTACCTCATACGTCATGTTCCACTGAGGACAGATGGTGTTATTGATGGCTTTGGTCTTGAAGGTTTGGGCTCCAACTAGAACGAAAATTAAGCCAAAGTGTAATACCTGATAATCCAAGGTAAAAATACATATTTCCACAATCAGATTATTTCACTCACATCAGATTTTACAATCTCAGGATCATCAACACTAATGGCATCAATGAAGGGATTAATAAATTTTTAACACCAAAAACATAAAGGAACAATGAGAGTCAGCTTTTCATAATTTCATTGTGAAAAGAAACTCTTAGGGCAGAAGGAAAACTTGAAATGCCATCATAATTAATGTATCTGTAACCATGGTGACAGCTGAACTCACCAACAGCAATGGCATAGGGGTCAGACTTGCCCTTCTTCATCATCCCAATATCTGCCCTGACCAGTTCCTTGGCCTCCAACAGATGGATCCGTAACACACCCTGAAACATAACAGGTAGATCTTGAAAACACCTGAATTGAAACAAGTAACGAAGGATATGACTTTATGGATAACAACTTCTTGTTTATTGCACAGACAGACATTCCAGTGTAGGTTCTTACACCATTATCAAGAAGTTGTTATCCATTAAGTCGTATGCTTCATTATAGACTCATCAATTTTGAGAATGCTGATCAAATAATTACTGAAACAGGCAGACTGTCATCACAATTGAACTGAAACAGGTACATCATCAAAACACCTGACCTGAAACAGTAGATTGTCAATGCGCCTGACCTGAAACAGGTGTTGCGATCAACACATCTAAACAGAAACATGTAGATTGTCAACACACTTGATCTGAAACAGGTAGATTGTGAAGACACCTGATCTGAAACAGGTAGATAGTCAACACACCTGATCTGAAACAGGTAGATAGTCAACACATCTGATCTGAAACAGGTAGACTGTCAACACACTTGACCTGAAACAGGTAGATTGTGAACACACCTGAACTGAAACAGGTAAATTGTCAACAAACATGACATACAACAGGTGGATTGTCAAAACACCTTGGCAGTACTAACCCCTCCCCACATGGGTGACAAGCGTGAACCTTACCTGTGGTTGTGGGTAGCGGAGCTTGTTGAGGTTTAGACCTTCCGTCATGGAGATCGGGATGCGGTTGGGCAGCACCATGATGTTGGCGATCTGCTCGATCACAATCGTGTGCAGCATGTCACTATGGACAACAAATAGATCTTAATCCCTGCACTTTATATACCATGTTTACTGCGTACAGCCAGAGATCCATGGGCCACTGTCACATTCAAATAACTGATCTTGAAATTCAAGTACTATATCATAAGTGAGCATCTCCTAAATATAAGTGCTAAACTCTCAGTGTTGAACTGAGTGACCCCCCTCATATATATCATGCAACAACATTTCCACAATAAAGTAACAAGAAACAAGACTTGAGAGAATATATACTAGTATATATCTATGTAAAGTGGCATGTCAAACATAACCCGAGAAGAACCACAAATCAAGCAGATATCATTTTTCCCATAGCAGAGAGCATGCTTAGTAGATTGTTGTGAAAGTCTCTGAGGCTGTGGTGTACCCATCACAAGAAGAGCAATGCAGATTTGAGTAAAAATAGACTCAGACAATTTCATACAACCCAGAGCAAAAGTGGCATTTTGATTCCAAAACATAATCATCATATTAAAAGACAATAAATATTTAACCTCATCATCAGAAAAACACACCACAGAACATATAAATATCATGCAAAGATATGTTAAATAGCAACATAATATTAGTGCACTGAAGTTTCTAAAATGTGGAGAAAAAGATAAAATTCTATTAGTCTTTCTAGCATATTCCTATCAGCAAATGAGGAGTATGAAAGACCTTGAAGTAATTTCTTGTTTAAAGAAACACAAAAAAGCAATGTGATTCAGTAATGTACTTGACCCAAATATACACTTAAAAAACAATTTCGAGATAAGATCAATGCCTTTTATCCCCACTCAGCCAAGAGCTTTTGTAATGAAACTGCACACCAAGTAAATACAGCAATCTGCATTGACTACATGCACAGCAAACAGAGGAACACAATGACAGGAAGACATACTTCAGACCAGGAAGATCAAATGCATTGGCCAGGCTGGTCAAGTTGAAGTCAACAGTCTGAAAGTGAAACAGGCAATCAAAGACAAACAATTAAAAAAAAAACATTCTCAAAGTTCGGAAAAATATTTCAAATTATTCAGAGCAGTAACAAGGCTGTTGGGCAACAGAAGAAGTCAAAAGTACAAAAAGTCATTCAAGATGAAAGATAAACCTTCAGAAATTCATAAAGAGAGTAAATTAGGTTTAATGCCCATTTCAGAATGGTTCCTGCTGTAAAGAGACTTGGCCAGGTGAACTGGTGGTTGATGTCATGAGGCATTATCAACACGATCCAGGGGGCGCTGGTCTGTGCTGGAATCTCAACATGCACATACAAGTTACAACTGAAGTAGCAGTTCTCGCTCCAATAATGTCTTTAGTCAAGTCATGACAGTTTTGACAAAAAGTAACCAAGAGGCAGAGAAACTCATTCTATTTGGCACATGTAGTTCATGAGCAACAGTTTGTAGAGATACTTCTATTTAATACAGAATTTTCAGATGAATTGCTGAATATAGATTTAAACTTTTTTGCAGATTTTTGACAAATATGTTTTAGTCGGATTATAAATCAATTTCTGGCCTTATACACTTCTAAAGGGTATACTGTTTCCATGTTTACCAGCTGGACTGAAAAACACATATTTAGCGACAAAACTATTTGTCACAAATGAGTGCAGGGTCCAGCTACAGGGCTACACTCACAGGGTTGTTGAGGAAGAAGACAGATATCCCCCCAAGCAACGGCATTTTGCTGATGAGGGGCTTGAAGACGACCCGCATGATGCCATGAAGCTGACAACAGAAACAGACATTTGTCAACATCATCTGAGCTAATCACAAGGAGTAGTGTTTTCTCAACATAACAATAGCAAAACAATTGGTGGTTATAACTGAATATTTCAATACACATTTGCCCAGGTTGAATATGTTGTTGTCTCACCTGTAAGTCTTTGATGCCGGCATTGATTCCCTTCACCTGAACAGCCACGTTGGAGTCACTGCTGTACCTGTAAGGTAGAAGAAGCAGCATATCCTGAAGTATTCTGTCATGGAACTCAATGGTTATAGCCAACCAGGGACAAACCTAGCAATAGTCACAAGAAACAAACAGAGTTCAAGATCTCCTCTTGAAACACTTCACTGCAAGATACTCAAAAGTACTGTAGTATTTTTCACCTTCTTTTCACCTTGAAAAAATAGTAAAACCAATTGAAAATATTTAAACCAAATAAATGGCTCCTGCACAACATGTACTATGTCTTGCCATGACAGATTTACTATAGTAACCAGACTTAATTGGGCGATATTTGACTCCTTTTGAGTAGTATATAAACCACGATACCAAACATATTTTTGCTGTTGTTTATGCTGTACTGAGCAGTACCCCAGCTATGTCTCCGTAATCAAGTCCTAACCAGATTGTTTAGTGACTGACATCATAAACACAAATTTTAATAAAATTGACAAAATATCATCTAGGTTCCCAAGCCAGATAATCCTTTCCTTTTGATGGCCTCTTATGATGACGGAGGTTTCTGGTTTCTGACCTCAATTTTTATTCAGATACACCACGGACATCCAATATATGAACTGCAGGATGAAGATTGTTATGCAAGTTAAATTCATAGACAAGATCACCTGGCAAACAATTACTGGTTAATGTAAACAAACATTGATGCTTTCATGTGAATGAGATCACTTCTGAAGTAAGCTTTTAACCATCTAATTAACTATCTGCAGTGTTACCACGGGATGTTCATAGGGACATCTTCAGCCTTGCTTTCCACTATGCGTTCACTTACACAATCTCCAAATCCATGTAGATCTCATCTCTCCGCACATTTTGTGTGTACACCTTCACTCCACCAATCCTGGGTGGCTACAAAAGCACAAGTTTAAAAGTAACATTACATGCCATGGTTTTTCAAATTGTCAGTCCTCTATATCAGTGAGTAAGATGAGTACTTTACTGCATGTTAATTCATGGAATCATTTCAAACCTCACCCTAGAGTCAAATGATAACAACAGCCCAGCTAAATATAACGTCATTTAACTACTCAACCCAGAGATAACATGATAAGTGCCCTTTGTATGTTCGCTGAGAGCTGAAGAAACAGTAAAACAAACAATGTGAATCATGGTAGCTCTCAGGTGTGTGGGACATAACGGTATGTTGCTTGCACTGTTGGTAACGTGGATTCACTGTCCGGATCCATAAACTGAACTTTCAGACCAAAAACATATCTCATGTATTTATATCCTTTCACATCAATATTTCCACATAGGCAAGGTTTTCAGGTTGCAGGGGTCCAGATAAGCAGGGGTCCACAGTAGCTAATAACTTTGTCATTTGTAATTGATCTGAACTGCAAAAAGTATTTTTCACAAGCAAAGAAGTTCATGTTCCCAATGAATCTGAATGATCAAGTCAATGGTTATGAGTTGCTAAAAATGTAACACTACCAGCCTAAAGGGTTTAAAAGCTGGTACACTACCAATACCACAGTGAGAAGTGATAACCAGTTTGTTTGATGACTCACAATGTCTCCTATGTCAATCTTGCTGAACTTGAAAGACGAGAGGGACGCTGGAAGACTCTCACGAATTTTTGGCTCAATGGACTCCCTCAGAAGTTTGTCGACATAATCCCCGATGTAGGGCCATAACTGGTCGATCATCTGTGGAAAAAAAAAAAAAATCTCTCACAAATCAATGTTGCACATCTGAGAGATGAAAATGGCATCACTCTGGAATATAGTAACTACATGGAGTGAGTGAGTGAGTTTAGTTTTACATCGCGTTTAGCAATATTCCAGCAATATTATGGCAGGGGACACCAGAAATGGGCTTCACACATTGTACCCATGTGGGGGAATCGAACCCGGGTCTTCGGCGTGATGAGCGAGCACTTTAACCACTAGGCTACTCCACCGCCCCTCTGGAATAAGTAACTATATGGAACAATGCATGATGAATATTATTACTGGATGCTGTCTTCATTGTCAAAATTAATAAACAGAGGAAAACCGCCCATAGCCACCTTTAAAGGTTCATTCATCATGTTCATGGTGTTTCAAATTTTGCAAATGAAAATATCTGAATGTTAAATGATCACACACACTTTTGAATCTTACATATTAAAGTATAGATTCAAATGCACGACGCTCAAATGTCCTCCCACTAACAATGCCATCTTCTTCAACCATGCAGCAGCATACAATGACATGTTTTACAATTGTTCACAGAATTTGATTGGTACATAAATGACACCAGGATATCATTCTTCATGAAACACTGAAAACACTATGTCAAATCATCACAAAAAATAAATTCAGAGAATATACCTTGTTCAACCATTCTGCTCTCTCTACATCCGGGAAACATACCTGCAAGTATAAACAGGCATATTTATTGACATATGTATTACCTGGATGCAGATTACATAATGTATCATCAGCCAAGGGTGACGCATCAGGTGACAGGTGGTGAGGCAGGGAGCACATCATCCCTGGATGACAGCTGAATCATTTCACATAACAAACATTATACAACCTGGCAATGAAAATATATTTCAACTATGCTTGTCATGCGAAGGGTCTTGTCAAAACACTGAAGAACAAGCTCAACTCTCACTGTATTGTGTGACCACATTTTAAACAGCAGAGTGTGTTGATATATATCATATTTATAGTCATGAAGTCTGCTGTACAGACAAAATGGGTGCTGTTATCATTATCCACTCAGGGACTGGTCATATACCATTGTATACTGTCATCGTATATATTTTCACGGGGTGCAATTTTTGCGGAAAGTTCACCATAGACCTATTAGCGCAATAGTTTTTTCGCGCATTTCAAACTCCTGAGTGATGGTGTCCATCACAAAGTTTTCACAACCCATAGACATGCAATGATCAAAGCTATTCCCCATAATTGAATCGTGTTTACTAAAACAATCAGAGAGATGTGGGATTTTACTTGTGCCAACATTGTGATTTGTGACTGATGTAAGTGAGCTTCGTTCAGTTTGTGATTATGAGTAATCAGCTATCAATTAACTGACAAACTGATAGCAAACATTTGCTGATTGTGATCGCTATTACTAGTATACTAGTATATGCCTCTATTCCTTTGTATCTTGTTTTGACGTTGTTATCTAAGAGAATAAAAAAATTGCATGTTGTTCCTACTTGAGTATTTGTCATGACTTGACCATGAATATTTCGCTTGGTATGATTATTGACGCACAATCATTTTTCGCGCTAAAAGTGCGAAAATTAATCCCACGTGAAAATAACTACAATTACAGTATTACTGCCCTAACCCAAACACCCCCCCACCCCCAATGTGACATTCATCCCATCCCCAACCCCGCACGCTCATGTAACATTTCTCATTTCCTCACATTTTCTTCCCTATAACATATGACCAGTCCCTATAGTATAAATAACCTGGGAGCTTCGTACAAAACAGCCTTAGTGTCACGACTGTCATAACTCTATGTTAAGGTATCAGTGGTCTTAGACTACAGTACCTTAGTGGTAAGACCACTTTCTCCAATAACATTTGACCCTTCATATGTACAAGTTTTAGGGCTAGAAGTTGAAAGTCCATTTAGTTTCTCTGAAATCTGAATTATGGCTATTTATTCTGATGCTATGAGAATGTATCTACACAGAGGGGATATGATAACATGCAACAACCAAGTCAGCAGGTGCGACCATTTGAACACATTTCCAGCCTTTCATGCCAAGCAGGGGATGTTAACATGGTTAAAGACCAATTTTAACCAGGCTTGTTTAGTCAGTTCAATACACATCCTGTGGTAAGTAGGCTTCTTTAAGCACTGCCAGTATGTACTATATAACTTTCCGAAATATTGGTGAACGTAAAGTTCAAGTGATGTAATGGTGAGAGTGGGGGAGACAATGGAAGTAAATTATGCCATTGTCTTCACTAAAGTTATAGTTCACCGATCTGTTGACAAAACCCTCAAGACAGTTTACACTGAGAAACTCCCTCGTCCACAACTCAGTTACACTTGAACTTTGCACAACCAGTTAGAAATTAGTACAAACAGGATCACAAATATCAGATTCATTCTATTGCTCAGATAGTAATCAAAGGTCACTGTAGGGTGACAAACTAGTATAATGTATCCAGTGTCACTATTAGGGCCACTTGTACGAGAAATCTAGATTCTGCTGACAAGTACGGAAATACAGCAACAAATTATTGGGAGAAAAGTTTGTTGACAACCTTTATACATTGTGCCTGAGTTTGAACAGGACCGCTTTATCCAATCCACTGGTCATCATATGAATCGTGAGTGAGTGAGCTTAGTTTTACGCCGCACTCAGCAATATTCCAGCTATATGGCGGCGGTCTGTAAATAATCAAGTCTGGACCAGGCAATCCAGTGATCAACAGCATGAGCATTGACAGAACGCAATTGGGATACGATGAGTCGATGACGTGTCGACCAAGTCAGCGTCATATGAATCGTACCAGAGGTGAATCATTTGGAACTGACAACATACCACACGCTTATTGTATATATAGTGACACAAAATCACCCCCATTGATATATCTGGTAATACTAAAGCTGCTGTAAATGACATTAAATATTCCCTACATGGAATTAAGTCACAAATTTCCTGATATATGTAATTTATGACTTTGAAGACAATAATCTTTGTTTCATTAATTTCACTGTTTAAAATATTCAGTGTTTGAAATAGTGATGTGACGATATGCAACGATGCATCGATTCATGGGCCGCCGATACTGTGAATCGATACAAAGTTTTACATTGTCGTATATCCCGATATGATACTTCAAATGGGCCTCGATACATCAATGTTTAACTTTGCATATTGCCAAATCGCAATATCTGTCAAGCATGACGTATTTTTGTTTGATGCTTAAAATGTATGCATACTTATTTTCCCTTCATAAGTTTCTCGGAAATTCTGTGTCAAACATAGCGCTTGTTATTATATTTAGTCTGTGTGTAAAGTTAATTATCTCATTTCCAAATGAACATTAAAAACGCTGGTGGAATTTGACCAAATATTTTAAAATGGTTTTGTTTTGATCTTAAGGTGTTTTATAGTTGGTGTTAGAATTAAAGACTTTAGTTTCATGATGCGTATCGTATCGCCACCCATGTATCGGGATTCGTATCGTATCGCTGCTTAAGTGCACAATACCTTGGCAATATATCGTCGTGACTAAAATTTTAGTATCGTGATGTATACCAGCACTAGTTTGAAATGACGCAGAAAACCTGCATATTTGACGCACAAATCATCTCAAATATGCAGTGAATTCAGAAGCTTGCATCATTGTTGATGCAATGCTACTGGGCCCTTAGTTCAGATAACTGAGTTACAGCTGAGACTTGACAGTAACTGCGAAATCAACAAATATTAGTAATGTACTTTAGTATATTGTAATTTGCTGTTGTTTAAAACTACTTAGTCTAATGTTTGCCAGTTAACTGCTCAGTGCTGATTAAATACAGTTGATGTCTTGATGAAAGTTCCAAACTGAAGTTGACTCCCAAAAACATGTCCATGACTCCCTCTCATGGCACCAGGGAGTCATATTGACTCCTATTTTATTATGCCTAGGGCAAACACTGAATATTCACATTGTAGTATCGTTGTTGTTTTTACATAAACAAACAGCATTTTTATAGGAAACAAAATGTGAGTCAATGACACCATGATTATACATAAAATTATTACTCGCCCGTGGAAGATACTGCAGTGTAATATTTTTACGACAATATTACACTAATGTAATACCGCTAGACGTATGACGTCATAATGTTTTACAGTTATGACGTCACAATGCTAAAACCTCTCACAATTGTATTAGACCTTACTTGACTCGTGGAAAGCTGCGAGTCATCACACTTCGTAGACAGTTTCTTTCAGTTTATGTTGGAGAGTAATAAACAGAATACTAAACTCGCTTCCGTGAAATACCATTTTTATTAAACTCGTGAAAGATTTAGCATCAAATCATTAACTCGTTTAATAACAATGGCATTACACGGAAGCGAGTTTAGTATCCTCCATTACTTGATTATGATAACAACTGTATGTGAGAGTTTATATGTGTTAATGTATTGATTCTCAGGCTCTGTATCTACTGTTGCCTATTTATGATCATAATATAACAGTACAAGTAATTGGTTCTAGTTTTCAATATATTCCACAGCTTTACCACATCGATTTGTCATTATATATATGTAATACAGCCAACAGTAGCCCCATCAATCAATACATTGTGATCTAAAGCTTTCTGTAAATGTGAGAATATATCCTGTGCTTACATTTCTTGCTTGTAAATAGGAGATTTGTATATTTTGGAATTGCTGTATATAATAATGGCCTTGATGTAATCCTCCCCAGACAAACTTGTTTGATAGGCCAAGCATGACGTGTATTGTGGTCCAGTTGCCCCAAGGGTCAGCTTGACCTAACTTCCTAATCTGTTGACAGCTACTCCTGTCACGCTTGACACCATCATAAGACGAATATGTCGGGCGGTCTACTGTATCTGTTGACGACAAACTTGACGGCCTTGTAAGGAATGCAAAAAGCGTACTCTGTGCACTCAAACACTGGGTGGGCGTGACGGAATTAGAGACAACAGGCATCTGTTCGACTGGACGACCCTGGTTTACGAATTTAGCACACGGAAGCACCCTATTCGATATCACACCTAACCGAAATATCCACTCAACTATGATCCAAAACAGTGATAAAAAGGACTTGCGCCATGTTATATATAGGACAGGAAACAGTTCGACGCGGAAGCACTATAACGTGGACAGTAGTCAGCATTGTTAATAATACCTTCACCCCGGTTGAGGTAACCGAATGGAACACCTGTCCTGATGTTTTACTGTTAGCCTTGAAACTCGCATGCAATGTATTTCCAACTTACCCATGATGGAAGATCCTCTACTCTGGCTAGGATCTCTGTCTTTTCATCTCTGGCAGTACGTTGGTTGATCTCGATTTTCAGTTTCTGTTCACGCGTGTGCTTCTCTTTCCACACATACACCACCAGACCCAGAAGAAGCCAACTTGGGGAGAAAGCGAAATAGCCAACAAACCATACCACTAAAACGACACCGGCTAGCTTGAAGTACTCCGTTACAACATTCAGAAGTAATGTATCGTCAAGTGCAGTCTTCCTTTTGGGAGATGCAGGCTTCTCCGTTTCTTCTGCCGGTGCAGACATTGTGGATGTCAGGTCAGTTGTGTTCACATTCCACAACACTTCTAACGGGATAGCTTCGCTTCACTGGTTTTTGCAGCTCGTTTCCGCGCACCTTTCCTTTTCGACTGGTATAACCTGCTAGTCAAGTTTGCTGTGTCAGAAATGCCTGTTGCCGATACTATTTATAACCTAGGAAGGTGTGTATTTCATATGAATAAATTGCAACTGGTATTTCCCCTTTAAATCCTATTTTACATTATCGAAATTTTGCCAATGGTGACTATGCATGGGAAAATTAAGTGTTTTGTTCGATCAACTCATCTATTAGTATTTATCGAGTAGTATGACAGTCAGTTTCTATACTATTTATAGTAACAAATGTATAGCGCGAGTAGTTTCGCCACTCGTGAAATATCAACTTTATCACACCGCTGATATGTAACAAACACGTTATTTAACCAAGAAGGCATTGTTTTGTTTATCTACAAACAAGCTGGCGAATTTTGAATATTGATAATCGAAACGTCAAGAGAGGTACGTATGCTAATTATATGTGGTTTATTCGTAGTATCAAGCCGATACTCCCACCCTAGAGCTTCTGCAGAACCGAAGTCAGGCTGTCTCCCACGAGAATAGATACAAATGTGAATATTGGGACTTTAATTTAATTTGTATTTGGACAGAAATGAAAGGTATAGTAAATGTCACTGTGTATATATATATATATATATATGATACCACCAAATCTGTTCGTTTTGGTATTGTGAAACAAATACGATAATTGAACAATATCATCTCCACTTCACCCACCTCGGCCTTGTTTCTTTGAATATTCCAGCTCGAGACCAGACACGATAATCCAATAATTATTGATTATTTCATTACGGGGAGAGTTTGGGATATACAGGGCCAATTTGCCCCTTGTGGCTTGGTGTTACCACAGGGGCCAAAGATAAAAATAGCATCGTGCCACTGGCGGAGTCTTAGCACTAGATACAATCTAAGACCATGTCAGTGACAGTATATGTCAGATATAATATTGTCACTGACATGTTCTCAAATATTATTTTGGCGCTAGTTTCCTCAACGACAATTTTAAGACCCGTGAAGATCCGGGTTAGAATTGGTCTTTGAATTTGTCGTAAGAGGCGACTAACGGGATCAGGTGGTCAGGCTCGCTGACTTGGTTGACACATATCATCGGTTCCCAATTGCGCAGATCGATGTTCATGCTGTTGATCACTGGATTGTCTGGTCCAGACTCGATTATTTACAGACCGCCGCCGTATAGCTGGAATATTGCTGAGTGCGGCGTAAAACAAACAAACAACCAACCAACCTTAGTAACAAGTCCCTGTAGTTACACCATGTTGCTCCTTGTAACGATTCGTCCCAAACCGTGTCATCACACCCGCACCATTACTATTGCCCTGGCCACTACACAGATGTCAGTAATACTCTATACAGTCTTACAGCCTTCAAGTTGTTTTGTCATACTTATATGGAGCGCTTACAAGTATATATGCCATCTATTGCATGGTAGATATAATATAGAGCCAACAAATCATTTTCTGCAACATTTTTGAAGACCAGAACATGCCTTACAGAAGTAGTGAGTGAGTGAGTTTAGTTTTACGCCGCACTCAGCAATATTCCAGCTATATGGCAGCGGTCAGTAAATAATCGAGTCTGGACCAGACAATCCAGTGATCAACAGCATGAACATCGATCTGCGCAATTGGGAACCGATGACATGTGTCAACCAAGTCAGTGAGCCTGACCACCCGATCCCGTTAGTCGCCTCTTACGACAAGCATAGTCGCCTTTTGTGGCAAGCATGGGTTGCTGAAGACCTATTCTACCCCGGATCTTCACGGGTACGTACAGAAGTAAGGAAGAATAAGCAGAGTTCTCTACACCGAGTTACCTGACGATATATGAATACATAGGAAGAGAGTCTAAATTGCATGAGTATCGTGACCAACACGGCACCATTAGCTTCCACAGGAGCAATTAAATGGAAAACACTGACATTGTATGCATTGTCACAATGTATTAGCTTATATGTGTGTGTCAGACATGCTGAAACTGAAATGCAGTGAAGAACATTTTCAAATTTGGCGCATCGATTAATAACTGTTGACCTGTATCGTATACTCCCGTGTTTGTTCAGATGAATACTTGACGTGACGTTGCATGTATTTGTGGAGTGTTCCTTGGGTTGGGCAAGATATGGTCACCTTTTCGCGAACACTTCGTTTCATCATATGCTCATGATTCATTGTGGTCACACTCTAATTTCTCAGTTTAGATCTGACGGAACCTAACTTTGTATTAACCGAAGCTTCAATGCTGAAAACTCAACAGACGTATGTGATGTGGACTCTTGTTAGTGTATTGTCTTACAACTGTAAGTCTTTGGATCTAAAATTGACGCTGAATGTTTGTTTTCGTAAAGCGAAACCAAGAAGTCTGGTGGCTTCACACCGATCGCTAAATTTCGATTCCCGACATTGGTGCAATGTTCGAAACCCATTTACGGATTCCCTCCGTTTATAGGCTGGAAGAAAGGCTCTGTCAGGTATTTGTTTGTATAAGTGACAGATTCTACCGTCACCATGAGCAATATTTCCTTAAGTACATGTTAAGCTTTTATCATTTGTGTTCGATGTTTAAACTCACATAAGTTACAGTGGCATTAGTTCAGACAAAATTTAAGTGAGGTGAGGGTGAGGTGAGGTGAGGTGAGGTGAAATTGGGTTTAACGTCATGTTTGTGAGTATTTCGCTCATATGACGACGTGCATGCGTGTGTATGTGTATGTGCGGCTGCTTGTACTAGCCCAGACTTAAGCTAATATTTTTTATAGTGCTAGCCCACTGAGATACTATGCCGCAGTGAAGCATGAATACCCCACTCAAACACATTATACTGACTCCAAGCCGACCAGTCCTTGTTGTACCCATTAATGCCGAGCGCCAGGCAGGGACCAACAAGTACCATATTTTAACTTCTTTTGGTATGACGCGGTCGGGGATCGAACCCGCGACCTTCCGCTCTCCGGGCGGACGCTCTAACCACTACACCACGGAGGCGGTCTACAAAATTTAAGTACTACATGAAGGTCTATCATGATCTTATCACTATACCTACTTCAAAGGCGGTTAGGAACTATAGACTTCAAAACGTCTATCCATTTGAAAACGGATGTAGTAATGTTTGAATTGAACACCCAGGACTGTGTGGTTTGATGGATTAATCATTTCTCTTGTGCTGCGCAGATCTGGACACAATAACAAAGCAGTAATATTCACATCGAATCTTTATTGCAACATATTTTTGTCTTTGTCGAAACATTGTAGACTTGGTGTTATATATCTGTGATGTATTTGGACAACCACGTCCAAGGTAGCCTCCGAACACGGAAAGGGGTTTGCTGCTGAGTTTTAATCCACTTTGAAGAAATCAAATAAGAATGTTCTTGAACCTTTTCTTTTCTGCCAATGCAGGTTACTGTGACAGTGATTATTGATTTACGCCGCATAAAATGTAACGATGTTCCAGCAATATCACGGCGGGCTCTACACATTGTACCCATGTGGGGAATCGAACCCGGATCTTCGGCATGACAAGCGGACGCTTTAACCACTAGGCTGTCCTACTGCCCACTGCAGGTGTGTAAGCTACGACATTCATTGTCAGACTTACCGTAAAAACAAAACTGTAACGTTCCATCTCCAGTCAGAATTAGCAGTTCATCTACCTAAATGTCAACAGATTTACTGCATGGCACTCTACAAGTCCTAACACCACAGAGCATAGTCATCTTCTACGTCAATCTCACAGAGAGCCACTAGTTTCTCGTCAATGCCAAATGCACCCCATTTGCCATTACCAAACATCTTGCCAAACATCTGATCACTTGTAGGCAATATTGCTCTCCAGTTGATGAATGGTCCTAGAGAATGTCCATTTGTCCAGCGCCAACCAACTATGTTCCGTTCGAGGCCAATCCATACTGTTCTATCTGCAGATATGACAACACAGTTTATTTGTCATGTAATATACCTGTATTGTATTGCCCACTGGTAGTAACATGATTATGAAATCAATACCCCGTTAACTGGTGACCAGGATGATGTGACTAAAAGCAATTTGTACCCTTAAAAAAAGTTTACACCAATCCCACACAGTTGGATTGTTTGTTGTTATCGATATGTGCGATTTTGTTCGATTCATTGAAACATAGTATGACATGATAAGTAAACATAGTATGACATGATAAGTAAACATAGTATGACATGATAAGTAAACATAGTATGACATGATAAGTAAACATAGTATGACATGATAAGTAAACATAGTATGACATGATAAGTAAACATAGTATGACTGATAAGTAAACATAGTATGACATGATAAGTAAACATAGTATGACATGATAAGTAAACATAGTATGACATGATAAGTGAAAAAACATGAGCCCACGACGTTCAGACACTATTTCTGTGTGAAAGAGAAAAACAAACTAACCATACCTTTACCCAATACTAATTTCTTATCTCTGAAAATGTATAATTTTGATACAATATATAACTCTATTCAACTTGAAAAGGAGCCAAAGTGAGATTGGGGATTAGACTAGAAATGAAAATATAGACTTGTTTCAGTTAGACAGGACAGGGAGAAAAATATATAATATTGTTCAGGAACTTGACATAAAGTGCGTCCACCATACTCCTGGATTTCTCTTGAAACAAATTTATTATAGCAAGTAGCAATATATTATTGTGAGCATACATCGTACACAAACAGCAAGTAGTCATGATGCAAACTTTGAATCTGATAGCTAAACACCGTATGGCTATGCATCAGTGTACACAAAATGTTGTCCGATGCAATTCCTTACTGTGACATGTACCATACCTTCCCTATTTGTTAAATGTGAACAACTGACTAGCGTTTCCTGTGTTTATGACAGGTGCCACGGGTGGGACAGGATTCGCTCACCTTTTCGCGAACACCTGGTGTCTTCACTATTTGATAGTGATTCATAAACACACGCTCTGTCATCATATCTTATTATGTCAATCACTGGAT